TGGTCCTCTTTAACAAATATTTAAACAGTTTTTTTTAATGAAATAATCGAACTATATCGACAATATTAGTGTCTGTACTTAGTCTCTCTTACTACTAAAAATTTGGTACATCTTTAAAAATAATCTAAAATGTCAGTATTCCATGGGTATATTGATAAATGAGTTCTAAATTACAAGAAAATGCGTTTTCTACGGAAACTTGAGGAGATAGGTAAAAATGGTATAATACAATTTGATAGACCATTAAATTGTGCATCTGATTATCATAAAATATACAGGGTGTTCCATTTAAATTAAAGAAGTTATTGCCGTTTAAAGCTAGTAATTATTTAAAATAAAATTTTAGATACCTACTCTGTATAAGGTAGTATAATTTTTATTATTGCAACACAATAACTAATCAGTAAATAAACTTCAGTAAATATTTAGCATTGAAAACTTTGATACCCTCGGAGAAATGAAGCCTTAAAATTTTTACTGCAATTTTACAAAATTGAAAATATTTTAAACACGGTAAGGTTTAAGTGTAATAAACCTAAATCAAATTTACCTTTATTTTAATCATAGAAACTAAAAATGTAATAATATACAGGGTGTTCCATTTAAAAAAATACAACTTTAATATTTTTTATTTATTTGGGACACTCTGTATCTTGTAAAAATATTTTTAAATTGTAGCTCTAATAGTCCTTCAACGAACCCAAAACTTACAATTTGTAAAAATCTAGTCGTTTAGCTACAATACTCCGTGTCGTATGTGGTGAACAACCCTTTCATTCCCGAGAATCTATAATCATTCTAAGAAAATGTGTTGTTTTATATTTTTTTTGAAACGGTTCTATGTTTCCAAATACCTACCGACATTTTGTTCTACAGTAAGTACTTTTTGACTTAAGACTATTTCCGAACAATAGTGTATTGTTTTATTAGGAGTAAAAATTATACTGTTTTGGTGATGCTGTACCTTTGAGCGACCATCGTAAAAGCTATTCCGACATTACAGCGAGGCACAAAAATTACATTTTTACTCCGAATAGAACATACTATTTCTTTTAAAACGTTTCAAATAATTGTTTAATCAATTTCAAACTTTGCAAATAATATGAACAGTAATCGAGCAACAATTTGTACACTCGTTGAATTTGACACTTAATATCAGTTTAATAATATATATTTTGTACTTTTGTGCTTAGGGTAACAGTGCTTTACTTTTATGCCTAGGAGTTAAAATGACAAAAGATAATATTTTTGAGTTGTTTGAAAATAAATCCTTTTGATCTGAAGCGAGTGAGTTTTTTGCGGAAAATATTGGTGACCGTAACACGCCGTAGAATTATTAATGTTATCAGTATCAGGCAGAGTTATAAAGATTTGGCCATTTAAGATAGAACTTTAATTGGAAATAAGTCCTAGTCATTTGGAAATCCGATTTAAACATTGTTTTGAATTAAAATCAAAAAAATCTGATTTAAATTAAAAAAATCAGATTTTTTTTTTATTTTTTTAAAAAAAATCATGATTTTTTCCAACCCTGCTTATAATCCATGTCACAGTCGATGTATTGATCAATACAAAATATACAGAATGTTTGGAAAAACATATGCCAACTCTCGTGGAGAGATTTCTCCCGTAAAAATAAGATTTATTTTTCATAATAACATTCCATTAAGGTCCGATTCTGCTTTGTTTCATAGCTACAGGGTATTAAAGTCTTAATAATGTTACGATTTATTATAATTTTTTTCCAAGTACTTTTAGTGACTCGAATGAAATTTTGTGTAAATGTTACTATAAGTACTACATATTTTAATGCTAAAAAAGTGTCGATAAATTCATCAGGGATGTGCACGTGGGTTTTCACTGGAATATTTTTCAAAAATAAAACATGAGCGCCACTGACTTTTTTTCTTTTTATATCAAAACTGTGTAGGCCGATTAATGCCAATTAAAAGTTCGGCCTCCTTGTTGAGATAAACGCAATTTTATTAATCACAATAAACTTAAAATTAAAATAAAATTATTAAATTATATATTTTTTAACTAATTTATTATTAAATATTATTACTATTATCCCAGTCTACAGCAATTTCAAATAAAAATATAATGGTATTTAAGATAATTATAAAAAGTTTTAACATCCTGTACCTCAAAAACTATGCATTTCCATACCCATGTTTATAGGAACTTTTTTTCATATTTTTTGATGAGGACTCAACGAGTACCTTTTAAAATTTTAGCAAGTTAATGATATACATTTTTTTGAAGGTTCCTATTAGACTTGGATCGAGGCAAATTAATAAAATTGGACTTATTTCATCAAGGAGGCCGAAATCGGCAAAATATCAAGAGACAACTTTTAATCGGCATTAAACTGCTTACACTATTTCGCTAACAAGATAAAAAAAGTCAGTGGCGAACATGTTTTTTTTTTAGAAAAATATTCCAGTGATAACCCATATGCATGTCCCTGGTTAATATGTCGACACTTTTTTAACTTTAAAATATGGCGCATTTATAGTAACTTTTGCCCTCAAAATTTCATTCGAAGCGCCAAAAGTACTTGGAAGAAAATCAAAATAAATCGAAAAAATATTAAGACCTGTAGCTACGAAACAAAGCAGAATCGGTCTTATGAAAAATAAATTCTATTTTTACGTGAGGAATCTCCCCACGAGAGATGGCATATGTTTTTTGAAACACCCTGTATAATACCCTTTAACTTCAGGAGATTTAAAACAACTAGATTTCTTTCATATCAAAACATTTTATTGATTTAACATAAGTTCTCTACATTTACTTTTACATCATTATTACTCGTTGAACAAACATTGGGAGTAATGCCGAAAAATATTAAAAAATAAAAATTACAATTTTGTCTATTCAATCCCACAAAAAATGCCTAATTTTTTTCAGTGAACTATTCTATTTTTTTTATTTTGAATAACGCCGCTACTGGTGTTTAAAGTAGACCACCACTTTGTTATGAATAAAACAATACCAGCTTAAAATGGAAAGTGATTTACATTTTAGGTTTTTATTTCAATAATTGCTTCAGCAATATCGACTAACTAGAAACCAGGAAAATAGCATTATCTATTTTTATTAAAATTTACAACAACATTAAATTGCATCCATTATTATAATAACTTGTTTAATCAAGATTAGAAAGCTTTGATACATTAAAATTATATTTTCCCACTGTTCTGAAAAAATTCTATATATTAATTTCTTTTTACAAAGTTGGTAAATTTAAAATTAATAAAGATATTTGAAGAAATTTATTTATTTTATAGATTATTTATTATTTTAAGATTGATTGACGTATTCAATTATTTTTGTTCACTTCTTGTTTCACCGGAAATGACTACAACTTTTGCTTTTTTAAATGGCACCCTCGGTATATTTTTACTTCATTCGATAGAAAATGACACTCCGAATAGAATGACTCATATCATAAATATGTCAACTTTTGACATTTTTTTCTTAAAAAAATAGTATTTTAAATTTTCAATCTACAGTGCCATCGCTGTGTTAAAAAGTCAAGCCATTTATAGTCAAGGAGCCTTGGAACTTGGAAAAATAGATTTGATCGTCTAATGTTTTTCGTGTCTTGTCCTGGCCCGTTAAAAGGTGGCAAAATAGTATTTTTAATCAAATCTCAATTTTTTCAAATGGAACAAGGGTGGCCCATTAGCATATAATTGGAAAAAGCATTTTTTTACGAATAATTTGGTATCGCACACTTGGAATTTCGAGTCAAATTGTCGTTATAAACCGCATGTTACAATTTCAAATATGATATGTCAAAAGTTGATATATGATATGTCATTCTATTCAGAGTGTCATTTTCTATCGGACGAAGTAAAAATATACCGAGGGTGCCATTTAAAAATCAAAAGTTGCAGTCATTTCCGGTGAATCAGGAACTGCCTAAAACAACCGAATATATCAATCAATTCTAATTTATGTCATATACTAACATACCAAATCTTGTTTTTTTATCTAAAAAAATTAAAATAGTTATAGGTGTGAGCCACTTTTGAGACGCACCCGGTATGTAGGAATCAACAGAGAACTGTCTTTATTTCTGATAAAAAATGATTTGATTTACTTGATATGTACTTGAGATAAACATATTTTAACATGTTTTGTTTTAACACACCCCGTATACATATACCAATAAATTTAGCCTATTTTAGTACCGTATGATCGAAAAAAAAACGGCGTCAGCGATGGCAATGAAATGAAGATCGCTGTCATTTTATATGTAAATTTATATGGGAAATGTCTTTGATCGTCATTTCCCAGCCAATTGAACGCCTTTTTTTTCGATCATACGGTATATCACAGTATATACCGAGGGTGCCATTCAAATTTTTTTTGGGGGTTGGAACCTTTGTTGTTTTACAACAGCAAAATTAAACACTAATTTCGCAATAAAAAAAGTAATTGCCAGTAAAACACTAATTGCCCAAATTAAAGAATAAACACTAATAATTAATTTTTTAATTAATAATAAATTAATTATTTTTAATAATTAATTTTGGAGAAAACATCATAAAATATTTCCATTAAAAAAAAATAAAAAAGTTTCCAGGGGGCACCCGGGTTTGAACCGGGGACCTCTCGATCTGCAGTCGAATGCTCTACCACTGAGCTATACCCCCTCGCTTAGGACTTTTATGTTTTAGGTCTACTTGTCATAAATATCATCAAGATTTTGATAAAATACTTTAAATCGTGATATAATTTCGATTTTCTAAGTAGCCTGGAATTTTTCTATAACCTATTTTTAACCGTCTCAACATTTTTAATAAAATAATACTTTATTTACATTTCAATAGTAATTTCACTAAGTTAAGTGCTATTTTTTTGAGAAAAAAATAGGACCTATTGATAGGTACAGAACTATAATTAATATTATTTATTCTTCTAAATAAAAATTACATTTTATTTTATATATAACACGGCCATTTATATGTCATCGGGACTTCGTGATAAAGATAAGATAAATCAACAATTTGTGATGTCTAAATATATTTCATACAGAGTTGTATATTAATCCATAACAATACTTAAAAATGTCCGCTTGAAGATTGTTAAAATATATATTTTTTGATACAGTAAAGGGTATACCAAACTCGAAAGTGTTGTATGCAGTGATTAATGTGATAATTAAAAAATGTGCAGTAGTAATAATTGTGAAATACTGAGATAATGCGTGAGAACGTTACACTGTCCAACCTAAATATTGAGATTAGCGGATCTGGTAACAGCTATAGGAGACATATAGTTTGTAAAATTAGTATTGGCATTATTGAAGTAAGTATTCATTATTTTTTTAATAAAAAGTGTACAGGAAAGTATATTTAATTTAAAATTTGTGGAAAAAAATACAGAGATGAAATAGGTAGATTAGAATTTATCTAAGGATTCCTATGAGTAATGGTTGTTATCAAGTAATTTATGAAAAAATAATTTTAGATTTTAAACAATAAAAAATTGTTCATTTTAAATAAAACACTTTCTTGTTATTTTCATCACGGGTACCTATTCAGCATCAAAAATGAAATGAAATTTGTTGCAGTCAGAAATAATTCAAATTATTTACATTTTCAAAAAACAAAAACTGTAGAACACCGACAGAGAATTTTTTTATAGGCTGATTTTTTTTATTTATTTAGTAATATCTCTGAAGCTATACAGTATGTCCCCAGATTATCATTACAAGAGGAAAAACTTCTTTATTATTAACATTTGGAGAAAAATGCATTCTTCATAAAATGTTTTGCTTGCTCTAAAATGGTTAATTCCGTTTATGCTTTTCCAAATTTCCATACCGTTTTAGAGAAAATTAAAGAAAACTTGAACTTTTCCTAAAAAAGTCTTAAAAATCAAAACGGGTTTCTTCTTCTTCTTTACGGTGCCGTCTCTTTCGTGGAGGTTGGTGATCGCATTGGCAAAATCTTCACGATTCTCGGCTTTCCTTATGAGTTCTTCAAAAGTTAGGTGAGTCCGGTTTCTGATGTTTCTCAGCCAAGATAGTTTCTTCCTGCCGAGACCACTCTTTCCTTCAATCTTACCCTTAACTATCAATTGTAAGACGTGGTATTTTTCATTTCTCAATATATGCCCTAAGTATGATGTTTTTCCTATTTTTATTATATTGAGCAATTCTCTTTCTCTGCGTATTCTGTTGTAGACTTCGGTATTTGTGATATGGGCTGTCCATGGAATTTTAAGCATTCTTCGATATATCCATGTTTCGAACGATTCGAGGCGATTCATCTCTTGAACTTTCAGTATCCATGTTTCTGCTCCGTATAATAGGATTGACCAAACATAACACTTAAGGAGCGTAGTTCTCAAGTCAAGGTCCAATCTGGGGTTCTAGAAGACGTTCTTCATTTTTAAAAATGCATTTCTCGCTTGTTCTATTCTGGTTTGTATTTCCACGTCGTTGTTCAAGGTGTTAACTATCCAGGACCCCAAATATTTGAACTTGTAGACCTGTTCTAAGGTATTGCCATCTATTTTAATAGGAATTGGTAGATATATATGGTAATATAATTTCGTTTTCATTCTTTGGTAGATTTTTATTCATAGAATTTTAATTAACGTCATATTTTTTGCTGTTTTAAAATGTTAAAGAAGCACAAACTTTATTTAGTTCAATACTACGGAAAGGGTGATAATAGTTATCGGAAAATTGATTCTACTTTAAAAGCAAAAAATATTTTAATTAAAATTAATAATAACCATCTGTCAAAGAATAAAATCTAAATAATTGTGAATTGTGATTGTGAAATAATTATATTACTTCCAATTTCTAGAACTTTGAAAAAAATTCAACCAAACTTCCATGTTTTTTTTTCTAATTTTCTTTAAAACGGTGGAAATTTGGAAAAATCTAAACGGGATTAACCATTTTAGAACAAGCAAAATTTTTTTGAAGAATTCATTTTTCTGAAAATGTCAATAATGAAAAAAATTTTCCTCTGGTAAAGACAATCCGGGGACATACTGTTATATCAAACAATATTTAATATCTTAGAAGTATTATAAGTGATCAGAAAGGAAGCCAAGAATGCAATAATATATAATATACAGTGTAATCTATTTTAAAAAAATCACCCCGATCCACTTACACATTTTTGAGTCACCCAGAAATATATCCTAATAACGCTAATAATGAAAATTGACAGCCTTTTCCGGTTAAATGGGAAGTACCATTAAACGTAAAATGTTTTAAATGAAAGTATGCCGAAAAATACTCTTGATGGTTCAATTTTCTTTCAGTTTTTGTTGTCATCCTTGCTGTATTGCTACGGTATTATATTCTGCGAATATGTCTTGCTGGGTAAACACAAATATGAAGAAGGAGTATTTACCGCCATTTTATTTGTGGTCTGTTGGAGTTTCACAGGTAACAGTATAAACAGCAGTGTTTCTTAGAGTTTTCAAGGTTTTTCTTCAATATTTTTGCAGATCCAATATCAAGATTTATATCGGAATATTTCGAAGACAGAAAACAGATGATATTTCGATGTTTGGTGGGATTTAGCGTTGCTATATTATTTTGCTGTGTTGCAATACCAAACAATATAGTGTTATACATGATTTTTGGAGGTAAGTAAGTAATAAAAAAAAATATAAATGCCTTTCAGGATTCCTTCTTCTTTTTCGCGGATTTCCTTCTTCTATTGCGTATTAAAAAGCTTCCATTAAATAAGCGTTCGGCATTTAACGTTTTATGTAAAACTGGCTAGGTATTTTTACACAAATGAAGAAGGAAATTAAAGATAAAGGATTATACTATATCCGTATTGTACCACATTTTTAGACAACTTCTTTATTTTTAAGATTTTTATAGTCAAACATCAACAAAATATTCCTTATGTTTCGACTAAATTTTCTTAAAAGTAAAGACATCATTTAAAATTCCCTTACAATACAGAAATAGATTGTAGTTTTTTGATTAGAGTGATATATAATTTATTTGGTTTTATAAAAAATTGCTCGCTATTTTATGGCAAATGCTGAAGCTCTGCAAACCTTAATAAAGCCTTAATCAAAGCACGTGTGTTTGGAATTTTGGATGTGGCTTAACACGACAGGATCGGGCTAAGCAGATTTCTGAAATTTAATATTCATTTCCTTCGGCCACACACCCGCTTTACCCGACCCTTGAGAGCGACCCGAACAGTACAGCATAATAGACTCTAACTAGATATATTGGCAAACCAAGCATTCTTTTAATAATTTAATTAAATAGTAAAATATTCAGCTGTTTTAAAATTAAAATTTACTATACCTATACGATCTACTATTATAGACCATAGTAAAATTCCAGACTTTCATACTAATGTTTAGGTCCAATTTTATAGCTGTGATAAAACTAGTGTGTGGCTGTGGCTAGCCCACCATTGAGAAAAATATACGCTTGAAAACTTAATCTTAAATAACTTAAAAATATTTCTTTTAGGTATAATCAAAAAGTAACAAATTAATAAACCTTTTCACTAGTTAAAAAGAAGTAGGTTTTCATTTGAAAAAAATTATTTATGATAATTTTCTAATCTCTCAATTCCATGACAGCTACGGGGCCAATATTATATGACATTCAAACAATTTAATTTTTGAAATAGATAGCCACATATGTTCTCTTTATGTCGCAGTGGCTGTGGTAGTCACTAAATTTGATGTTTAGGCTATACAATTTTTTTTGACAGGCAGTTTTTTTCGTTCAAAAATTTTAAATAATTTTTCTCTCAAAAACGGTTAATGTTAGGTATAGAATGTTTGAAATATTTTTAATCGATAGATTTCATTGTGAAACAATGATCAGTGCAAAAAATCTCCGATCTAGATATAGTAGTTCTCTAGAAACTTCTGCACGCTCAGCCTGAGACACCCTAAGGTGGCTACACACACTACTGCAAGCTTGACAAGCATGCATGAACAATCTTTTTGTACAAGCAAACTGTCGCGTCTGTAGGGAAAATTTGCGCAAGCATTTTAAGTGTGCAAGCCGCTTGATGATTGATTGAATTTGAATCATGCAAGCGTGGACAAGCCAAGCTTGCGCAAGCAAAACGGTACCTGTGTACCATATGTATTCAGCTTGTACAAATAATTAGTTTAGTCCGTGATCGTAAATGACCTGTACGTCTCGTCGCCATCATGTCTGGCGATCTGAAAAGGATCAATCGAGGATTATTGGAAGATTTTATTCGCGCATACGAAAATCAGCCGTGACTTTGGGAATTAAATCACCAGAATATCATGATCGGGTGAAGAAGGATACAGCATACAAAATTTGACTTAATAAGTATAGATTAATTGACAGACAAGCCGATAAGGATGCCGTTATTAAAAAGATAAATGCCTTTCAGGATTCCTTCTTCTTTTTCGCGGATTTCCTTCTTCTTTTTCTTCGGACTTCCTTCTTCTTTTTCGCGGCATAAACTGAAGCTTGTTCAAACATGCATGTACCGTGTGGCGGCGAAGGTAAATTATGCATGGCTTGTGCAGTAGTGTGTGTAGCCACCTCTAGTTTACTATACATGATGCAAACCTTTGTGATTTGTGCTACAGTAGTACACTTTGTCTACTTTTCTTTTAGGTATTGTATCGAACTTAATCTCTACCCAACTACGATGGTTCGCTGTAGATAAATTGGACATGGACTCGAGAATATTCGAAGTAATTAGACAAGTGTCCAGAGCACTCAGTCTGATTCTGATGCCCCATTTTATATTTTGCCTTGTAGAAATCTACGGAATCAATCAGGTAAAACTGATCTATGGGTCGATTCTGTTCAATATCATACCAGCGGCTTTACTAATCAAGACGTATGACAAAGTTTTAACCAGGGAACATGATTTGGAGTATCCAATTGATAGAGATTATGTTTCCAGATACCAAACTATAGGGTAAGCCCACTAAAATATATTGAAAATATTTTGTTACAAGCATCGTTACAAGAGCTACAGATGCGATATCGTGTCAAAGGCTCATACGTAGTAGTATCAAAGAGTAATAGTTTAATCTTTTTACATCTTTTTATAAGCTACTTTTAGTATTCCAAATTAAACCATTAAAAATTTTACTTACAGACGTTACAGTCAACAAATGAACGATCTTCTCACAAACAACAGAGATCAAGCGCCAAACTCGAGCTCTTCATCTGAATCTAGCGAAGATAACTCAATATTTGATCAACAGCCAATTCAAGAAAGTAAACAACTCGATGCCACCGGTTCCACTCAAGAATCACTTGGACATCATATGTATGATCATTCGGAGGAAAGTCCATACGAATTTGATAATTTTGCAGCCGATGCTGAGCAAATCAACGATTTGGAGAGACAAACAACTTACTTAAATCCCGTAAATGTGCAGTATTATTTCCAAAATGCTGGTGTCAGTATTTTACCAGGTCAGTCAATTAAATCAATAGAAATAAACATTTTACATATACGCAAACGCTCTTTAGTTTATCTGTATTTTACCTTTTTTATTTTTATTTTTTACCTTTCGAATGGTTTAAGTCGTATCTGAGCAACAGAAGTCAACTTGTGAGAGTGGATACCACATTGTTTTCCAGCAACCCAATAGAATGTGGAGTACCTCAAGGCTCAGTACTAGGTCCTATTTTATTTCTTCTTTTTATTAACGACATTGCTAACATAAACATCAGTGGTAAAATATGTCTTTTTGCGGACGACACTAGCTTGACTTGGAGCAACAAGGACGTCACGGCACTTCATCGGATTATATCAAATGACTTAATCACCATTAAATCTTGGTGCGATTCGAACCTCCTGAGTCTCAACATTTCTAAAACTAAAGCTTTGTCGTACAAAAACTCGCTGCAGCCTTTTGTACTTAACAACACCACCATTGACGTCGTAAAATCTGTAAAATTCTTAGAGCTTGTTGTAGACAATTCTCTAAAATGGGACATGCATATCGACGCTTTGTCGAAAAAATTGAGCCCTGCCTGTTTTGCTTTAAGATCTGTTTCTAAGGAGCTTAACTTGTCAGTGGCTAGAACTGTTTATTATGCACTTTTTGAGTCGCACCTCAGATATGCCCTTCCATTCTGGGGTACGTGTTGTGCGACTCAATTTCACCGCCTTTTCAAGCTCCAGAAGAGAGCTGTTCGATATTCACTGGGACTAAACAGCAGAATTTATTGCCAGGACTTTTTTAAAAAATTAAAAATATTAACTCTTCCTTCCTTATTTATATTTTATAATCCGTTTGCCTAATACGTAAGCATGTATCAGCTTCTCAAGAAAGACCATCTCACACTTATCCACTCAGGAAGGCGGAGCAAGATCTTTATTTATCTACCCACCCCACGCTCAGAGTTAGTTAAAAGTTCAAGATTATACAACTCGAAAAAAATGCACAATCGCCTGCCGTTTGAAATCAAATCCATAACATCATTTTCTTCATTTCGCAAAGCATTGAAATCTTATTTACTAGAAAAGGCTTTCTACGCCGTAAATGACTTATATTTTGATAATCGAGTTTGATCTTGTAAACACTGGTCTAATATTTGCTATTACTATATTTACTATAAACTTACTAAATATATTTTTGAATACATTCTTTTTTAAATATTTTTGAATCTTATTTGTATTTTTTATTCTTTGACATTGTAAACATTTATAAATGTTTATTTTAAACAATAAGACTGACAATGTAATTTGTATACTTGTTTTGTATTCTCTTTTGTTTGTCCTACAAATGTACCTTTGTCTACAAATTGTAAAAAAATTCTACAATAAAGGCATTTATTTTATTTTTTTATACATTCAGATGCAAAAAAATTCAACAAACATCAAAAATAAAGTAAAGTTAACAGAAAAAATTACAAATTGTTGGTGGCAAGTGGCAAGTTCATTTCCCCTTAAATAAAGAAATTATTCACGAAATTATTGCACAGGGTGTTTTAAAATTAGGGTAGAAAAAAACCCTTCGATTAACTCTGTATAATAAGCCAAATACTAAAGTTTTTAAAAAAACTGAGTGTATAAAGTAGATATAATATTCTATAAATTATATAGTATTTCTAAAACAATCATGAAAATATGGCTAAAAATTAAAAATATACAGGATGTCCCAGAAATAAGTGCAAATATTTTAACTGGTAGTATATTTCGGCCGCAGAAACATGCCTATGAGATCTTTTTTACGAAAAAAAAAATTTAATTTTTATATTTTTATTGACATTTTCCTGAAAGTTTTAAAAAACTTTTTAATGCCACTTGTTTATTCACCTGAGGCGTCAAATAAGCTAAAAAATCTCATAAAAAAACCTTAATGGTCGGTTATCGCCAGCGGTTCTCAAAACGTTGCCATTATTTTTTTATGTTCAAATTTAAATAACTCTGTTATATTTTTAATTTATTTTAAAAATGGTAAAAAGAAAAGATGTTTCTAAAAAAGAAAGAAAAGAAAAGATCTACAACCCCTTAAAATATTTGCACTTATTTCTGAGACACCCTGTATAATACTTAAAAAAATTGTCCGTTGCGTTTTTTTGTATCTGAATGTGCATCAGAATTATAGTTCTAGATTATCTAAAATACATACAATCTGTCGTATGTTATAAAAAAGACGTCAAAGTAGCTTGGAAATAGAATGAAATGAGAGCAATCTGGCATTTCCAAGCCAACTTTGATGCCAACTTTCGATCGTATGATCCTTAATTACCGTATATTCGAAAAAAAACGGTATCCAGTTTGCTTAGAAATGAAAACAGCGATGACATTCCCTATATAATTTTACATATGAAATGACTGCGATCTTCATTCTATAGCCATCGCTGACACGGTTTTTTTTTCATAATATAATCAAATGATGATATTTAAAAATAATTAGATCACGCTGTATATACTAAAAAAATTCCAGGTATTCCCGAAGAAAATGAAGATGAAGATGACGATGACATCAACTACATCAATCCAAAGAGACTGAGTAGGATCAGTGTTAAACTTGAAGAACTCAACATCCAAGACCAGATCAGAAAAGATAGCGTCAAGGATGTGTTTACTATAACCGAGGTTGTCCATGAAAACAGACCGGAATCCATAGACCGAATAGAATTCATCCCTAATTTTGAGAGCCCGTCGTTTACATACAAAATAGAAGACTTCAACAAAGCGAAAAACTGTTTTCGTTGCTCCGCGTATAAAAAGTTCGTCTGGACTAGAAGATTACGAAGTACCAAAGACTTCTTTGTAGATAACTTACTAAGACCTTTATACTACGCAATAAAAAACTTATATTTTTATCCTTCAGTAACTACGAAAACTATTGGAAATTTGGTGTCGACCCTGTATATCACTCTGGCTCCATTTATGGTGATCAATAAGGGTTTTAGTTCAGAAGAGGCTACATTTTTACTGACATATATAGCTTTTGCATGGGGTTTCTTCCTCGTTGGTCTTCCCATGGTTATTAAGCTCAACCCTACTAGAATGAGGATGATGTTAGTTTTTGGACTTATGGTATCAGGATCCAGTTTCTTGCGTATGTATATATATATATAGGAAGGCTCATTGTTCCAAATAAGCGGTATATTCCTAGATCATACTATAATCTAATAGTATGATCATAGAGATATATAGCTAGTCTAGGGTTATACAGGGTGGTCCGAACTGTGTTAAGGACACTTCGGCAGCATATATTGCAGATAAAACCATGTAAAAAGTTCATATAAATGTACGTCCTAAAATGCTTAGTTGCGGAGATACATCATGATGTAGAAGTTCAATTTTATTTAGATTTTTTCCAAACAATTTCTGAAATAACGTCGATATTTAGATGAAAATTGGTATCTGGGAGTTTTTTGACATGATAAATTTGATTTTGATGTCAATATGATTCGTTTTTGTAGGGGGCGCCACCTACATGTATTTTAACTGTTTTGAAGAGTAATAACTTTTCGTCTGTACCTGTATAAAACTACTGAATGAAAAAATATACATTTACGTGATTTTTTACGTATAAAATATCTCTTGGTAAAATCGCTATGAGCAACCGTTGTCAAGATATTTAGAATGTAAATAGTATTTTTTAAATTAATCATAAATTTGTCTTGGAAGAAATGATGATAGGTATTTAATATGTACTCAATCATTAATCGCTTGTTATTGTAGAGAAGATTAGGAAACAATCTTGATATAATTCTTCAGAACACTAGGTCACCCTGTATAAGATGTTATTATTAGAAATTTTTTTATGTTATACCGGGTGCGTCTCAAAAGTGGCTCACCCCTATAACTTTTTTATTTTTTCAGATAAAAAATTGAGATTTGGTATGTTAATATATGACATAAATTAGGATTAATTGACATATTCAATTGTTTTTTGTCACTTCCTGTTTCGCCAGAAATGACTACAACTTTTGATTTTTAAATGGTACCCTCGGTTTTTTGTTGCTTTGTTCGATAGAAAATGATACTCTGAATAGACTGACATCATATGTCAACATAAATCAAATCAACAATTCAACAACATACAAATCAACAACATAAATAATATGTCAACTTTGACATTTTTGCATATGGTTTATTTGAAATTATAACATGCGGTTCAAACGATAATTTGACTCGAAATACCAAAAGTGTGTGGTATCAAATTATTCGTAAAAAAATGCTTTTCCAAATATATGCTAATGAGCCACCCTCGTTCCATTTGAAAAAATTGAGATGTGATTAAAATTACGATTTGGGCATCTTTTGACTAGCCAGGACAAGACACGAATAACATTAGACGATCAAATATATTTTTCCAAGGCTCCTTGATTAAAAATTAGTGTTTTTAACACAGCCGTGGCACTCTAGATTGAAATTTAAAATTCAATTTTGTTTTAAATAAAAATGTTAAAAGTTGACATATGATATGTCATTCTATTCAGAATGTCATTTTCTATCGAATGAAGTAAAAAAATACCGGGGGTGCCATTTAAAAATCAAAAGTTGTAGTAATTTCCGGCGAAACAGGAAGTGACAGAAAACAAATGAATATGTCAATCAATCCTAATTTATGTCATATACTAACATACCAAATCTCGTTTTTTATCTGAAAAAATAAAAAAGTTATAGGGGGTGAGCCACTTTTGAGACGCACCCGGTATTTATTTAACTATTAACAATGACTTTTTGATATTTTTTATTATTAATTTAGTTTTCTAAAACATCTAACATATTAGTTCTAATCTAAGTTAAGTTAAAATCTTATTTATTTTTCAGTGCTGTCAGTTAAACTGTCAAACGACGTAATAACATTCAGCAGCCTCCTGTTTGGATTCGGTTATGGACTGATCAGTTACTCAGAAAAAATAGTGTACAGGTCATCAATAGGCATGAGAGCCTGGTACCATATACAGGGCCCGTTAGAAGTACTCTCCGCCGTATTTATTATTATTATTTATTTAGTTATTTATATCTATAGAGTAGATCTTAAGATTTTATTGTTTATGGCGTCGATATCGTATTTTGTTAACGCGTTCTTGTGGCTGTGTATTCCTCTTGTTAAGTTTTCGATAGATAGGTCTAGAAGATTTGTTTATGACGTCAGTAGACGTCATGAAGAAATTTTACATTAGTTTATAGAAGGATAGAACGCATAAAATATTTGCTCCTATTTTTTGTACATAAAAGATTTAAAGTTCAAAAAAATGTAATTGTTTTATTCATATATATAGCTCTACCATTATGTCCTTTCCCTGATTATCATAGTTTCTGTTTGAGATTTCCAAGAGTATTTATTTGTATATTATCAATAGTTAAACAAGGGTTAAACAAGGGTTAAACAGGGTTAAACGAACTTAACTACGCGTAGACCAGATTGCCTAAATCACAGAATAGTTTTGCGTAGTTAATATTTAATATTCTGTGCATATTATAAAGATTATTTAAAAGATATATTTCTTATTTTAAAAGATTTTTTAAGTAAAAATATATTCATATTTAAATTTGCGAAAAGGCGCTAAACTTGCATGTGGCGCCATCTATCAAAAAAAGTTAACTAAAGACGCTTATTGCGCTATCTATCGGAAAAGTGAGTAATTAAAAACGCACATGGGTCTCCATCTATTGAGTAAGTTTCGAACTAGATTAAGCGCCATCTATTAAGAAAGTGTTGACTTAAATTGTACGTGCTACCATCTGTTGTTAAGCTACTAAACTAGATTTACCTGTAGTGCCATCTATTGAGAATATTGTAGACCAAAATTGATATACCGCCATCTACCGGGAACGTTTTGAATTTAAGCTATATATGGCGCCATCTATAACAAATTTAATAAACTAAAATTAAATTATTTTTCATCTGACTACATTTTTTAAATTTCAACAAAACGATATTAACACTTAAATTATAGAAGCTAATATTTTTTACTTATTTCTTATTTAACATACAGACTAAATAATTCAAGAGTAATTAGTAATATTGCAATCCATCCCACAGACATTCCTATCTCGGCTATCGTAAAGCTATTCCAGGCTATTCTTATTTAAAAATTACGGCTTCCTTATCGTTTTTCTGATTAAATAATAGTATAAACTACAAACTATGTTAATATCACGTTAATATATATATATATATATATCCATCCTCCCGAGAAAACCAATGATGAAGTCTTTCTACCGTATACTAGATAACATTATTTTTTAATAATTACAGCAAAGATAAAGGATAGTTTACAAGTATGGATATGAACACTGAAGAGGTCGTGTTCGTGTTAAATAAAATAACTCCTGTAACTATTTTTATTTGGTATTTATAATTACTTTCCATATACCATATACAATATTTAGAAAGGGTAATATAATCATATAATTTGTAGGTTAAGTTACTAAATAATATAAAATATTGATAAAATATAAAGAAGTCTCCTCTAATTTATTTGATATTCTCCTATGGGTATCTTAAGTATTATTAATTTAATATTATGTAAATCAAGACTCTGAAGCTTTTTTCCTCTGATAAAATCGTTATAAACGATACGTATTTCTTAAAAAAATATAAATCTTTCAACGAACTTTTCTCTAAATAAATATTGTTTGTTTACTATTAAAGCAGTTGGTTTATTTATCTAAAAATCACATTATTTTAATTATACACTATACGTATGTACAAATTATATATTAATAAAATAATTACCTTTTTATTTCAATAAATTCAATATTTTTATTACTGTTGTTCAGTTAATAATAACACATTAATTTATTTAGCCTTATACAAATTAGTTTGATTAGTTAATCGAATGGTGTAATAAACATTTTATTCCCAATACGAATTTACATTTTATTTCATAAAATTGTTGAGACATTTTTCGGTATATTCTATATTTGTCTTAGTTGCGCATGGTCAACTTTAAAAGAGAAAGCTTCCAGTATTAAGAAAGTGTGTTGACGCTAAAAAAATAGGCACATTTACTCATTTTTAACGTGTTCGATTTTAATAACATCCTGTAGAGACGCGAATTTTCCAAAATAAAACAGAAAAAACTAGTTTTTTTATGAAATATTTCCAGTTGAACCATGATACTAGCTATAGGATGTTTGGTGATAGTTTGCGCCACTACAATAGCTGTGATAAAGTCAAAGAAACCTCTTAAACTGATCATTGCAGAAGCAAAATATGAAATTTTGTATAATGCGGTGGGCTCGAAATATATGATGAACGATTTTTTGATGAGAAACAAAAATAAATTAACAGGTAAGTGATATACAGAGTGTAAATGAATAAGTGCGAAAAAATTAGGTTGCTATTTATTGTTATCAAAAAAATTGTTTTTTTTAGAGTTGCCTAAAGATTTAAAGAAAATTGCTGTAATAACTGGAGGAACCAGAGGAATCGGTTTGGAAGTTATAAAATTATTGCTTACTGCAGATATAAATGTAATTATAGGTAGGGTATTCTAATGTAAAATATAAATGTAGTTCATCTCACGTTACTTTTCCTCGTTTTGATATTTGACATCGTATATTTATGGCAACCCTTTGGCTCAAACGAAAAAACGGCGTCACGGATGGCTATGACATGAAAATCGCTGTCATTTTATATGTAAAATTACATATGGGGAATGTCATCGATCGTCATTTCCATGCCAACTGGACGCCGTTTTTATTTTCGGTGGGAGATCCTTTATTGTTAAAGGTTGTATTTAATATTTTATCATTTTTTTACCTTATTTAATTTTTCTGCTATACCGTTACTTTTTAATATAAATTTTAGCAGAGCATTTAAAGGAATACTTTAAATTGCTCAAATAACCAATTTTATGTTCTATTAAATAATTTAAATTTAGTCGACCGTTATTTTTACCCGTTTTTAACATACCGGGTACATCTCAAAAGTGGTTCACCTCTGTAACTTTTTTATTTTTTCAGATAAAAAAAACAAGATTTGGTATGTTAATATATGACATAAATTAGGATTGATTGACATATTCAATTATTGTTTTCGGTCACTTTCTGTTTCACTGGAAATTACTAAAACTTGATTTTTAAATTACACCCTTAGTATTTTTTTACTTTATTCAATAAAAAATGACACTCTGAATAGAATGACATATCATGTGTCAACTTTTGACATTCTCGCTTAAAAAAATTGTATTTTAGATTTCAATCTAGAGTGCCATGGGTGTGTTAAAAACGCTAATTTTTAATCAAGGAGCCTTGGTAAAATACATTTCATCGTCTAATGTCCAATCTTGCCCAAGATGCCCTTATTTTTCATCATATCTCAATTTTTTTTCAAATGAAACGAGGGTGGCTCATTAGCATATTTGCAAAAAGATTTTTTTTAAGAATAATTTGGTACCACACACTTGGTATTTCGAGTCAAATTGTCGTTATATTTAATGTCGAAGTAAAATTTAAAATGCTATTTTTTGTTTAATTAAAAATGTCAAAAGTTGACCTATATCCAGCTATGTCATTCTATTCAGAATGTCATTTTCTATCAAATGAAGTAAAAATACTAAGGGTGTCATTTAAAAATCAAAAGCTGTCGTAATTTTCGGTGAAACAGGAAGTGACCGAAAATAATTTATTGTCATTCAATCCTAATAATTGATGTCATATATTAACATAGCAAATCACGTTTTTTATCTGAGAAAAATAAAAAAGTTATAGGGGTGATCACTTTTGAGATTTGAGACGCACCCGGTATAGATATGTATTTGAACAAAAATCTCGTTTTGACAAATCGTGTTAAATGCCATATATTGGGACGAATTACGCGAGAAGAACTATATTAGTTACGGTTTGCAAAAATACTTGACTAACCATAAAAGCTTTTTTGAAAAGGTTGTAGAAATGTTCAGCAAGGAGAGACACTTTTGAAAAAATTCCGAGACATGGGAATCGACCGGGGAAACATAGAAGTTTACCAATTAGACATAAGTGTAACGAATTCCGTGAAAAAATTCGCCAGTGAAATCAAGGAAAGACACGATAAAATTGATTATTTAATTAATAACGGTAAGTTTTCGAATAATAATGAAAAATAATTAAACTTGAATCATAGTGTACTAGCGTGTACCCGCGACTTCGTTCGCGTCGAATTAATCATTTGTAATGGTGATGATAAAGCAAAGCAAGAATTTCCATTAACATACAAACTGGATAAAATTTTCTCACATTTATATCAGCATGAAAAAAAAACAATACGGCGATATTATTATATAACTTGGTAATATTTGAGGGGTAATTAATTCATCTCGTTGAAATTTGGCTTTCGAAAAATCCGTTTGCCAAAAATAAGCTTTTTACGTCAAGCAGTTTAAGCAGAATCGTGGTTAAGAAATTACCCAACTTTTTGGAACACACTGTATGTTTTTTTTTTAAATTTCAAAATATGTAAAAAACCAAATAAATTATGCTTATCTAAGCGTTTTCCCGAAAGACTAACCGTTTTTAAATAACAAATATTGTAATATTTGAGGGGCGAGAAACCCCTCCTTATCGAACCTCTACACCCCACAGTCAATCCGTTTGCCAAAAATCAGCTTTAAACGTCAAGCAGTTTAAGCAGAATCGTGATTACTCATTGATCATATTTTATGAAACACCCTGTATAAATTTTAAAAAATCTTAAAATATGTAAAACAACAAAATAAAATATACGTGTTTAAGAGTTTTTCCGAAGAACTCACCGGATTTTAAATAAAAAATATTTTATTATTTGAGGGATAGTTTCACCCCCTTAGAATTGGAGTTTCGAAAAATCCCTTCTTATCGAAATCTACACCCCAAAGTCAATCTGTTTTCCAAAACTCAGCTTTTTACGTCAAGCGCTTTAAGCAGGATCGTGATTTATCAATGACCAGATTTTTCGTAACACCCTGTATACATTTTTAAAAAATCTTAAAATATGTAAAAAAACAAAATAAAATTTACGTGTTTAAGCGTTTTTTCGGAAACTTGACTGTTTTTTATATAAAAAATATTGTAATATTTGAGGGGTGGTTTCACTCTCTTGGAACTGGAATTTCGAAAAATCCCTTCTTATCGAACCTCTACACTCTAGAATCAACCTGTATGCCAAAATTGAGCTTCTTACGTTGAGTGGTTTGAGCAGGATCGTGATTAATCAGTATGTCAGTCACTTAAGGATTTTATATATTAGTATAGATTCAGTTTAAAAAAAGTTTAATATAGTTAAAACATAAAAAAATACACAGAAAATATTATTATGAATGAGAGAATTCATCACTTAGCCTTGTTTATAACAGGGAATTAACAAACACTTGCCTATAGTATAGTATTACTAGTGATGGGTATTTGCTAGGGATGGGCTTTTTTCTCGATCTGTTTTTAAATGTACAGTACGTCTGCTGGATCTGTGTCTATGAAAGGAATGCGGACAAAAAACCTTTAAATAAACAGTAATATATTTTATACCTCGACTTGACGAGTACGTCACCGCCAATCGCTCCGCCTACTCATTTTATTGGCTACTTGCAAATTTGTCGAATTTTTATTGATGGGACGCGTCGTCTAATTTTTTACGAAAAACATAGAGAGAATATCGTTTCCCCTCTCACGGATACCCCTTAGCTACAGAACGGACAGACGTACTGTAATAAATCATATTGTTCTACTGAAAATAAGCAAATTAGCAGCCATTCCCATTTAAACCGGAAGTGGAAAATTTCTTTTAAAATTTATCAGAAATAACATTTAGTAAATCTATTTAAAACCTTAACTACTGCAAATTATTTTTTTTAGCTGGGATAATGTTTGGCCCGTACGTCGAATCCCGAGATGGTTACGAATCCCAATTCTCGACGAACTATTTGGGACATTTTCTCTTGACTCATCTCTTACTGCCCGAATTGAAAAGAGCAGGAACAGAAAAGTCCAACTCTAGAATCGTAAATGTGTCTTCGTGTGCCCATGTCATTGGAAAAATAAATTTTGAAGATATTAATCATAGGTAAATACTTTTTTCTCGCCAAGTCTACTGATATACTCCTTCCATATCCTTAATACTGTTATTTATGTAAGAGAATTTATTAGGATTATTATTTTTAGGAATCGATACATTCCATCAGAGGCGTACGCTCAGTCGAAACTAGCTCAAGTAATATTCACAATATACTTAAACGACTTATTTAAAAAAGAGAACGCCCATGTTCAAGTTCATTCAGTACATCCTGGAATTGTCAACACTGACTTGTTTAATGGAACTCATTTAAAGAACCTGGCTCCTTGGATTCCACATCTCTTCTTCAAGGTAAAGACACCAAATATATATTGTCTGATCGAAGAAAAAATGGCGTCATAGTGGTCTTTTAAATTAAAATCGCCAGTTATTAGTCAGGTTGACTACTGTATGGTATTTATTAACTGACTGTTTTTTTTTCGATCATGAGTACATTTTTTCATTTGTTGTAAACTTTTTGGTACGTTCTTCCATGGTGGTCCGAACTATATTCCGGAAACGTCAGTAGCATATTCTGCAGATAAAAATAAGTAAAAAAGTTCATATAAATGTGTCCTAAAATGCTTAGTTTCGGAGATACAGGATGTAGAAGTTTCATTTTATGAATTTCATTTTATTTATTTGGAAAAAATCGAAATTTTTTCCAAATAATTTCTGAAGTAACGTCAATATTTGGATGAAATTTTGTGCATAGTAGTTTTTTGACATGACAAATTTGAGTTTGATGTCAATATGACTCCTATTTGTAGGGGGCGCCACCTACATGTGTTTTAACTGTTTTGAAGTGTAATAACTTTTCGTCCGTACCTGTATAAAACTACTGAGTGAAAAAATGTACATTTCAGTGATTTTTTACGTAAAAATGTATCTTGGTAAAAATCGTTACGAGCAACCGTTCTCAAAATATTTAGAATAGAAATAGTCAATACATGTAATTGCAACAAAAAAATAAACATGAGTAGATAGTTATTTGACTGAAGACTGAAATGATAATTTTTTTATTTTTTTAAATTAATCAATAAATTTTCTTCAGAAAAATGATGATAAAACAGTTTTTGTTGATCGTGTGGCACAAAAACATTTAAAATTTATGATTTCAGTCTAATAACTATTTAGTCAACATGTTTATTTATGTCAATGAAGACAGGTATTGATAATTTCGATTCCAAATATCTCGAGAACCATTACTCGTAGCGATTTTTATCAAGAGACCTTTTCCACGTAGAAAACGTCGAAAATGTATATTTTTAACTTAGTAGTTTTATACAATTAAGGACGAAATTAATCTTCAAACCGGTTAAAAAAAAATAGGCGCCCCCTACAAGTAGGTTGTATATATATCATATTGGCATCAAAATCAAATCATGTAAAAAAAACTTCCAGACACCAATTTTCATCCAAATATTGATATTACTTCAGAAATTATTTGGAAAAAATCGGAATAAAAATGAGACTTCTACGTCCTGTATCTCCGAAACCAAGCATTTGAGGACATGCATTTATACGAACTTTTTTACCTATTTTTTGATTTTTACCTAGTTTCCGGAATACAGTTCGGACCACTCTGTATAATGAAACACATTGATTTATTTTTTCCAGAGCCCAGAACAAGGTGCCTATCCAATAATATACGCATGTTTATCGCCTAAACTTGAAGGTCAAGGTGGTACCTATATAGATAACTGTCGAGTGGTGTCGCCTAGCGACAGGGCTTCGAACCCCGAAGTACAAGAAAAACTTTTCAAATATACCAAAGAACTTCTTAGTATAGAAAAATACAGTGAATTATTATAACCTCCATTTGTAATTATGGCAATAAAAACAATAATTTATATTTTTATTATTTAGTTTTTTAATAGTTACTCTTTGGCTTCATATAATTGTATATATAAATACAAAACGAATCAACACCTACACCACTAAAACAAATAACTTATAATAAAAAAAAATAGCAATAAATAATACTAGTAATGTATTACATTTAATTAAGTACTTAAATTATTTGAAACTGTAGGCGTCAACAATTGGAAACATTTTTATGTGATATAAAATTCTTTTATTACACACATAAATATTTCAATATACTTAGTGAAAACTACGCGTTTTTTTATTATCCTACTCCAATAGAAAGAAAAGCAATAAATGGTTTAAAATTACATTAAAAGCACCATAAATACTTTACAAAAGGAATGAATGTATGTTTTTTTTTAAAGTTCTCCTAACTGCAATAAATGAACTAAAATAGATAAATAAATTTTAAAAAGGCAATTTAAAATTATTACTAAGTACCTTAGTTTTAATATATTTAGGAATGGTTAACATTTATTAATGTCAAAGTGAATAAAAAATTAAAGCTTCATAATACAACCTAAAAAAATTTTTAGGAAAATATTTCATCTGTATTATTATTGCACTTAAGTGAAATTAGTAATTCGTAATTTTGTAAATTACAAACAAAGCTTCATTTAGCGATTATTTTATCGAGTTATCAGTCGAAGAAATCTTGTTTTTTTCAAATAAAAATTAATTTAACCTACTACAACAACTGGAATCATTACTAGTTGAGTCATTAATATTTTGACTGTTAGGATCATATCTTGGTATATTTGTCATCCTGGCTTGCTAAAATTTGTTTCTTGCATATTAAAAAAATATTTTTAAAAAGCAAAAATTGCCTACCTTCATAAGATCCTCTGCAATCTGCATAAAAAGTCTCTCCACATTATCGGATTCTTTAGCAGATGTTTCTAGGAAGTACATGTTATGTCTTTCGGCAAATTCTTCACCAACATGCATAGGTATTTCTCTATCTTCTCTGTCAATCTTGTTGCCTATAATTAGTATTATTTATTTTGAGTTGAACGAAAAGAAACTAAAAATTTACCAACAAGAACTCTTAACACTTTGCTACTAGCATATTCTTCAATTTCACGCAGCCAGTCAGGTAAACAATCAAATGTGGGCTGACAAGAAATATCATAAACTAAAATAAGTGCATGAGCAGATCTGTAATAACTTTGAGTTATTGACCTGAAACGCTCTTGTCCAGCTGTATCCCAAATTTGAAGCTAAAAATGTATTCTTAATAAGTGTATTAATTTCTAAAAGTTTCCATATTTTACCTTCACTTTTTCATTACCAACTTCCACGGTTTTAATCATAAAATCTACACCTATAGTGGCCCCTTGCCCTGGCGGAAATAATCCTTGAGTAAATCTTCTTACAAGACAAGTTTTACCTACTCCAGCATTACCCACCAGTACTACTTTAAATAGAAATTTATAATCGTCCATATTATAAATTGCATCGACGATTTTTCATAAAAATGTGTAGGTCTGAAAGCCTTTAAATTCCTATATACGTCTCTCTAAAATTAAACAATGACAAATATTTTCAAAGCTTAAATTTCATGGTTTGTGATCACAGACCTACCTGGCTCTAAATTCTTGCAGTTTCTATTGTACATTTTCGAAGATATGTAGTAATTGGCGATTTGTTAATTTTTCTTCTATTTCATTAAATATTAATAATTAAGGGACATTTACATATTTTTAATATATATTTTCTGTTTAGGAATTAAACATTAAAACAGGTGGATAAAAATACTTTTTTTCCTTCTGTTGTGTTGACTGACGTTTTCGTGACACTTGGCACGGGAATCTTTAATTTTCATATATAAAATATTTCAAACCCATTTTGGCTCATATATTTTTAATAAGAATATGATTTAAAACCAGTTTAAATCTAATAGACCTTTCCCGTTAATCGAAAACAGCGGTCATAATGCGCGCGCATGAAGTTAAGTTTGCTAGACTGAAAGATCGTAGGTCCTAGCTTGTTGCATGTGGCTTGTCATCCGTATTTGTCAATTTTGTTTTGTTTTGGAGATAAAGTTTGGTTAGAGTTTTCTTCGAACATTATTTCTTGGTTTTTATATTTGTTTTATTATTTTGCGTACGCTTTACGCAGTTTTAGTGCATTTAAAATGTGGACCAATCACATTTAAAAACCTCATACTTTATGTATAGTTTTTATGTCAAGTCCACATTTATGCATACAAGAATGTCATTGTTCTTGTGAAGTTGGGTGAGTATTTGACTATTATTTTTTAACATTGATAATAAAATAAATTTTATATTTCTTTTAGTTCATCCCAGTCTTCCCATCATTTGCTGGGTTTAGAATTTTATTTGCAAGACATTATATTAAGAGTAGAATATGAAACTCCCGAGCACATTGCTTCAACATCCCAAGATATGATATAGAATAAGCCACGTGGGACAAAAGTAATTCCTGAAGATGCAAGGTATCTCACATTCCAAAAACCTACAAATATTTTGAGAAGGAAGGCCCCCGTTGTAACAAAAATTGCTATTCATAGCACTTCTGCGATGTCGAATGAACAAGCAGATGATTTGCCCACAAAATTACAGAAATTAGAGAGAAGAGAACCTTTTTAAAAGATTGATAAGGGCATACCTTTATCTTTTTTTTATTTCTACAGAGAATACCAGTAAGTGCTCTTTTGCAGGTTTTTATACTTCACTTTTGACCTTTCAAAATTATACTTATTTTTTATATCATGTATCGTTTTATTAATTATGCTAATAATATTACAGTATTCAAGTTATGAAATATATGTGTTGAGTAAAACTATTTATATTTCCAGATCCAGAAATTACTATTTTTGGTCAACAAAATAGAGGAGGGAAAGATATTGCTAATGATGATATGCCAGTTAATCTACCCATATTAAATACTATCACTAGAAATATTTTAATTAGCTGCCTTTTGCCACAAGAGAACCGTTTTCATGAAATTTCGTTTGGCAAAGCTCTACAACTGGAAAGGCGCATGCTACAAGGAGATAATGGCAAATATGGTGGTGTATTTAAGAAAAGATCATGAAATAATGATAGTAATATATATTTAGATTTTTGACAAAATGTTTTATTTTATATATTATTTATTTTTACTATAGTATACAGTGTGTCCCCCGATTGTCTTTATAAGAGGAGAGACGTTTATTATTGACATTTTGAGAAAAATACATTCTTCATTAAAAGTTTTGCTCATTTTAAAATGATTAATGCCGTTTATGCTATTCTAAATTTTTATACCGTTTTGAGTAAATTTAAAAAAACTATATTAAATATAGTTGAATTTTTTCCTAAAAATATCTTAATAATCAAAACGATTTTCTGATTTTCTATAGTAATATAATTTCAATTTCATTCCTTGATAGATGGTTATTATTAATTTTGATTAACGTCATATTTTTTGCTGTAGTAAAGTATCATCACCCTTTCTCTAGCATTGAACTAAATAATCTTGTGCTTCTTTAACATTTTAAAACAGCAAAAAATATGACGTTAATTAAAATTCTACCAAAGAATGAAAACGAAATTGTATTAACTTAGAAACAGGTTTTTTTAGGACTTACGGATAAATTACATGTTTTTTTTAATTTTCTCTAAAACGTTATGGAAACTTGGAAAAGTCTAAACGGGAGTTACCACTATAGCACAAGCAAAATTTTTCATGAAGAGAAGATCTCCCTAAAGATTTCTTAATGGTTGTAAAGTTTGTTAAAAGAGCAAACACAGTACAAATTTAATTAATAAAACTTAACAAGCTTATTGGTAATCTAGAAGCTAAAATTTTGAATGCCTTAATTCTTCTAATCGCTCTTTCCACATGTATTCTTTCATGTGCAATTTTCCTGATAGATTCCACGTCATTGTCTTGAAACTGCATACCAGTAACTTTCAATGTTGAGCTTGATACCAATATGCTCTAAAATACTGTTTATTTCGAAATCTTTATCAGCTAAAATAATGTCCCTTGCATTTAATTTGCCTTTTTCTATCTTTATTTCTAATGAATATAAAAAACCACTATTCAATGATCTTTTTATCCAATATAAATCCTAAAAGTAAAAAACCAATGAAAGATGTTAACATCATCAAACCTAATAGCATACCATAATTAATATATACATTATTAAATTATTGCTCTGGATTAATCATAATAATTAGTCCTTTTTATATAATCATAATAATTAGTCCTTTTTCTTCAAAAATATATTGGTATTGGTGCACTGCACCAATAGGTCCTTTTTCTGATTTGAAAATATAAATATTGTTAACAATATTTTACTTATATTTTATGACTTCTAACACCTGTATAATAATTTATTTCATTATCATTGTGTTCTCAATTAAAAATTTAGATTTATATATCGCCTATGATTTAATCGAGTATTCTTTGTTTTGGAAGTTATTTTTTTGGTGTTTTACTGGTTTCTATATTTTGTACAGCTTCGTTGGCTTCTGCGTTATTATACAGATATAAACGTGGTATGCAATGGGGTTTTAGTTATGTCCTTGTTGAAAAATGAAATAAATCTCCTCTAAAATGACGCCAGCAAACCTAAAACAAAGTTTTGTTGATGTAAGTTGTTAAGTATACTATACAGTCTGGGAAATATATACTCTTATCTTGTCGCTTATTGCTTGTGAATCTGTTTTCAAAATGTAGTCCATATATTTCTCCGAGTTCCTTTGGGAATGAAAAATATACTGTCAGTACATCGCTTGGTCGAATTGGAGCAACCGACTATACAACTACGCATTGCGAACTGAAATTTGCCCTAATACAATAATTTACGGATTGAGCAGAAGAACAAAGACAATTTTCAATAAATTTTATATAAATAACAAAAATTGAAAACAAAATAAGTAGGGTTATGTATACCATAAATCCTACAGACATAAGTTACGACATCCGTGCTCCGTCATTTCTTTAGATACATTTCTTTTTATCCCTAGCCTTTAAAGACTCCGTTTATAACCAGATTTGAACGGCGCCAAATCTGTCCGCGCATTATGACCGCTGAAAATCCGATTAACGGGAAAGGTCTATTGAAAAAAGTAGGTCGTGACCTCTACCCTCAATAGTCATCACCAAAATTCATATATCAGTTATAGTTTTCTGTAAATAATATTTATACCTTATAGATTTCTTTACATCGTATTTTCATAAAAATAGAAAACTTTTTTTTGAAAAAACATAGTGGCTTAAAAAATTAGGATTTAAATGAACTAATCTGGAACTAATTGTTATTACAAACAAAGTGTTATCGATACCTCCCTAATTAAAATACAAAAATTGGCAACCCCGGAAGTGGCAACAATGTAAAAGAAAAGATTATTAAGAAGAGAGTCGCTCACCGGCTTCGAAAGACGTCGTCACGGGATGGTCACGGTCACAAAAAGAATAAGGTGGAATTTTCGAGGCGAGCAGGTGTCCAATACAAGCGTAATGGTTTTATTTTCTAGGTAAGATCCTTTTTATTCCCTATAAAATTCAAACAAGTAGATTATCGATCTCGATCGGTAGAGCTAGCCGGTAATAGGTATTAATCAATAATATTAATAAAAAATCGAGAACGATAACAGGTTTGTTCTCACAGCTGTAAGAAACATATTTCCAACAGATAATCATGCGCAATAGGGTAAGACGCGTTCGCACAGAAATTTTTGATTGGTTTCCAACCAACAGTAAGCTGTTCACACAGAAAATTCTGATTGTTGGCTGACAGTCAGACCAGTTCGCGGATCTTTTGCAAGTAAAGTGTCCGGCGCATGCGTATTGCAACTCGACGTCATTGCTTCATTGCTTGGTAAACTTAACCTACAAAACGTGTGTTGTTTTTGTTTAGTGTTTTTTTTCTTCAAAAAATAAAGAACAGAAATGAGCGATTTTGAATCTTCCGAAGAATCTGAGGCGTCCGAATTTTCGGATACAGACACAGACCTAGAAGAGCTGATAGGTCTGTTCCAAGAAGTATCCCTGACTAGTCAGCACGTTTCTCATTGGTTAAAATGCGTAGAAACCTGAGGCCCGATTCTGTAAACATTTCTCTTGTCTAGTAACTCATCATTCGTATACAAATAGCATAGGCTAGACAAGAAATTTCTTGCTACGGAGCTTACAGAATCCCACTGCTGATTGTTAGTCAGGTTTCTACGCATTTCAACCAATAAGAACCGCGCTGACTAGTCAGGGATTCTTCTTGGAACAGACCTGATGGAGGAACGGGTCAGGCCCAAGAATCAAAATTACTTGGATGAAACGGTGCCCCAGTTCAACAGAACTGAATTCCTGGAACATTTTAGAGTTAGCCGTGAAGTAGCAAACGATATTTCTCAAAGATTTGCAAATAGTGAATACTATAAGGAACAGTCAGGACCATATGGAAAATTAACCTCATTACAGTACACTTATATATTTTTATGGTATGCAGGGCATCAAACCGCTAGCTTCCGTGATGTAGCTGACAGATTTAATGTGACTATCAGTGTTCTACATAAAATTATCAAAAGAATGATATATTTCTTAAGTAACCTTTCACCTGAGGTTATAAAATGGCCAAATGATGTGGAGAAGCAGGAAATAGAACAGTATTTTCGCCATAAAAATACGTTTCCCGGAATTATTGGGCTAATTGACGGAACCCACATTAAAATAGATAAACCCCAGGATGATCCTGACTCCTATATTAATCGAAAGGGCTTTTACTCTGTTCAGGTAGGTTTAACTTGACATTGACACTTTTTATTTTGTTACTGCTTTTGCCTGGACCCTAATACCCACTAAATTGTTATACAGAACAATTATTACTGTACTGTATTGCATAAAATATACCGGATGATGCATCAGCTCATGACAGGAAATCCCATGTTAATTTCAGGGGTGTCGATTATTGGCTCCCCTATTTATTTTAGAACAAACTTTTAATGGAACTTTTTGAAGTACTAGATTAGGTCAGGCTACCTACCAACTTTGATTCTTATTCTTTAAGGCATTTTTAAGTTATTTGTAAAATTAGATCCTTAAAAAACATAATTTGTACATCCCTGTATAACCGTAAAACACTCCAACTACCAGCAATTTATTAAATTTTATGACATTGGCATAAAAAGCATATAATTTTGACGTATTTGAGGAATCTAATTTTGCAAATATTTTAAAAACGGCTTAGCAAATGAGTTTCAAAGTTGGTAGGTAGCGACCTAATCCAATACTTCAAAAAGTTCCTTTAAAAGTTTGTTCTAAAATCAATAGGGGAACCAATAAATCGACACCCCTGAAATTAACACGGGATTTCCTATTTGTCCTTACCTGATGCATCACCCGGTATGTGAATATCAAAATTTTAAGTGTTTTTTTTTTCACAGGTGCAACTGGTATGTGACCATAATCTTCGCATTACTGACATATTCACAGGGTATCCAGGATCCGTACATGATGCCCGAGTGTTCAGAACATCTCCATTAAGTGAGACATTGGAAGAAAAATGTGGAGAATTTCACTTGCTAGGAGACAGTGCTTATCCATTATTAAAAAATGTGTTAACACCCTTTCCAGATAGAGGCCTGTTAAATAGACAACAAATTAATTACAATATACAACATTCCAGCAACAGAGTAAAGATTGAGCACTGTAATGGGGTATTAAAGCAAAAATGGCGTCAGCTGTATCATTTGAAATTAAGGGATATTAGGCTCATCGTTAACTTCATTAGAGCATGTTGTGTTCTTCACAATTTAGGGTTGCAAGATGGTGTTGCACTAGATTTAGAAGAAAATGTAGAACCAGTTGAACCTGCTCCACGTCTAGACCCCGATAATATAGAACAGGGCATTCAGGAAGATTTAAATGCTGTAGCAAAACGAAATCACATTGTAAACATCCTTGGACAATAAATGCATAATAATTTTTTGGGACTTGCCCAATACCAAGGGACATTGTTTAAAGTCTGCCAAATTATCTGTCACTTCTTGTGTAAGCCATACAAATTGTACGCTACATATTAGATTTTTTTAGTGTTTACTTAAATAAAACTAAAATTTCGCATTTTTTTTTGTTTTAGAAGTTATATAAAATGACAGGCTTTTCAAGAGCCGTTTATAACTATTGAAATGTGCAAATGTGGTTTTTGAAATAATTTTTAACAAAATAATTGTGCTATCAAGATGCTATCTTCAGTTACAAAATCACAAGAATCACATTTATAAATGAATTTCTTGCTTCCTTAAACATTAAATCTGCTTTTATTGCACATGAAAGTTGTGTGTAAGCATTCCTTCATCCAAAAACATTCATTGCTTTCAGGGGAAGTGAAATTCATATAAAAATGTCCCCTTACTGTGATGTTCTAACAAATTTAGCATAGAAAATATAGCTTCTTTTACATATATTTTAAACACCACACATTTGCTCTGATTCTGGTATTTTTTAAGCTAAAAATAGCCTTGCTTTTTCTGTGACACTGTATAGTTTTGAAATGTGCATTAACAATTTTTATAAAAAATCAATAATATGTGAATACATTTTTTATATTTTATTTTAACAACAAAATATACATTATACCCTGCAGCAACAGTCTTATAGTTTCCTTAGCCTACACAAATGAAAACAATTATAAACAAAAACTACATTCTTTGGTAAATACTCCTAAATAACTTGGAAAATAAAAAAAATAAGAATAAGAAAATTAAAAATAACTTGGAAAACAAACTATATAGATTCCTGGGAACACAAAACACATTTTTTCTTTTTTAAAATTTCATTTCTTTCCCCCAGTAGTGTATTCTTTTCTTCCATAAGCTTAACCTTAGCCTTTAGAATATCAACTTTTTCCCTCTCTATCAACAATCGAGCCTCATAATATTCCTTTTTGTCCCGTCTCATGTGAACTAATGTTACATTTCTATTAAGCAATGGGGTCCTTTTCTCTTTTGATCTATCTTCTTGTACTTGTAATGTAGTGGCTTTTCTTGGAGTTTCTGGGAATTTTAGGGACTCCTCTGATTGATTGTCAGGCATTTTCTGCACAGATTCGCTTGAGAGTAGAACAACCGGATTTACATTTTTCTTTCCTTTAAAGATTGCATCCATTTCTTCTAAATATTCAAAATATTTCTTTCCCTGGCCTGTTTTATTTTGATTGTCCACGTATCGTTTGTATGCTCTTTCTAAAACTCTCCATCTATTTTCTACATGACCAGCTGTAACGTTGGTTCTAAGCAATCCATTTAATTCTTTTGCTAGAATTTCCCACAATTTTTTGAAATTTTTTATTTGTGCAGTACCAACCCTCACTCTATATTTTTGGTACAAATCTAAAAGTACTTTGGTTTGATTTGTGGACCAAGTAATTGGAGCTGGAGATGTATCACTTAGTTCCTGGTTTGTTGATGCCTCAGTTGCCTTTGCCGGTGGTACAAATACAAGAAACTCTGAGAGTCCTGAAAGAAATAAAAAACAATAATTATCTATCCATATTATTCCCAATACGAAATGTGGTGCTAATATAAAACTACATACTCAGTCAACAATAGAAGGGTTTTTAGTATTCAAGATTAAACACAAATAGTAAAAGTTTACTTAAGTGACACCTTGTATTTTCAAAGAATTCCTTTTTAGGGGTTTTATATTAGCCAAATGCAGCAAGAATCCGCGTACGCCGGTAATTGCCTCTCAATTTTTGTTGAAATTTGTTCAAAAAACCCTGTTTTCTTTTTTGAAATATAAAGAAGGGGGCATTTCTACATGCCAGTTATGTTATTTAGAAATGCCTCTACTTTATATTTCACAAAAAACGCATTTAAAAATAAAACTACCGGAGCAATCAGATTCTTGCTGCATTTGTCCTATATTAACCCCCTGAAAATGAATTTTACGAAAATCTCTTAAAATATGGGGTATCACTAAAGTGAACTTTTACCACACGAACTGCCGATGGAACTACACATTAAAATACGAAATTTTAAACCTACCTGATTCACAGCTTCTAGTATCCATAATTATACAGCACAGCGGTGACGGTGGTTTTATTAATTTTCTAGGAACAATATCAAACAATATTTTTTGACTCAAGTACTAATTACTAAAAAACAAAAGTAAAGCGAGGTTAAGGATTGTTCTTCTGTTGAAAAGCGATGTTAATTCCCTGTTCGTTTCTTCTTTATTCGGTATTACGTAGGAGTTAAAATTAGTGGCAGTTAGTGGTATTAGATCAAAAAAGAAGAGTAGGGGATCCGCTGTTCGCACAGACAGTTTGAAATCGATCAGAAAGTGCATTATTTGAGACCTGCGCATTAACACCGGTTTGGAAGAAGTCACAAACATGTTGGGAACACGCTGTGAGAACAAACCTAACATGGCGCCCAATACGTGTGGCCTGAATAGAACGATTCTGTTCGGATCTACGACTGTAATTGTAATATATACTTATATGATGTGATTTTGATTGTAAATAAAGAAAATATTGTGTTTTATTTAGTTTTAAGTATATATATCTTTTGGTTTACGACTGATTCTTTCAATGTTTCCCAGTACCTAAATTAGACAAGTTGACCTTGAAAAAATTTTGAAATATTGGATATTTCACAATAACTTTTAATTTTCTTGCAATTGGAGTTGGTTTCATCAAGTTTTAGTTAAAATATTCTTATAATCGAGTATCCTTATCATTAAAAACATTCTCGTAAAGATATTTAGAGTTTTGAGAATCGGTTTGACGATGGCCTACGTTGATAGTGACGGTGACGAGTTTTTTGACTCGTTTGAGACCTTAGATGAAACAGAAGTCGAAGATTTTTCTCCATTACATCATCCAAAACAATATATATACCAAGATGTACCAGAAAATTACGTATATCCAAATTATACATTTCAAGAATGTTACAAGTTTACAAGTCGTCCAACCCAGCATTGTCCATCTTCGGAGACACCTTGCGAAGTACCTCCTGTGTATGATTATACTCCATTCAACAATAAGTGTCATTTTCAACAACACAGTAGTGAACAAAATGATAAGTTTTATCAGTCAAGCCTTATCGAGAACAGTTTACCAAAAATCAACATAACCAATAAATCAAATCACATACAAACTAAAACACCAGAATATCCTCAAAATCATCAGGATATGTCAAGAGAATTTTTATCCGCAGTTCAAATGATAGCTCAAAACTTCCACAAGAAAGAAATAATCTATCCAACATTTACTGGTAACGAGTCTGAAGATCCAACAGTGTTTCTGAAGAATCTAGAAGAACTGTTTCGTCAAGAACGTGTCAATATCAAAGAAAGAACAAACATTGCTGCTTCACTCTTAAAGGGCCCAGCACAACAATGGTATCAACCCTACAAACATATTGCCTTATCCTGGGAAATGTTTAAGTCACAGTTCATGGATGCATTTAGCAACACTGCAGTTATCGCTCACCTAACAACACAATTGTACGGAGAAAAACAGAAAACTAACGAGTCAGCCATCGTATTTATTACAAAGAAACAAGGATTATTCTATAGACTGATACCTCAAGCATCCGAAATACACCTTATTAATATTATAATGGAACAATTAGTGCCAGATATTCGATCCAGACTAAGAGGACTCCAATTTAACACTATACAAAAACTGTTACAAGTTGTTACGGCAATAGAAAAGGACCTAACATATACACATCTTAACCAGCAATATACTACAAAGGAATCTTCCATCGAAGACCTAAATAGAGCCACACAAAATAAGTTAAGGCAAGAAAACCGTCCACACAGTGCCTGTAAATATTGCGGAGCTTGGCATTTCCATAAAGATTGCAGTCGAAACCCTTATAACCAAAGATCACAAGAACAAACAGTTACGAGTAACAGAAGAGATCACGTTAATGGGCATCAACCAAATCAACAAGAACACAGTTCAGCCAATCATACACTACAGGAAAACTGGAGAGGGGAAGGACAGAAGCCTGTAGCTGGCCGTCCCTAAACATGTTTTCAGCAGGCAGTATATCGATCGCCGATCTCTCTAAACAAACTCCAAAAATTATGATTAAATTTAATAACGTTTACATAAATGCGTTAGCCGATACGGGAGCTTCAGTTAATCTTATATCTTCTCAGTTTTTTTCTGAATTGCCTAATTCGTATAAACAAATAGTTAAAATTGGTTGTGGTACAGTAGAAATGGATATTCATGGTATTTTTGAGTTAGAATACACAGTCCTCGATGTAACATTAAATTCAAAATTTCTGATAGTCCCAAATTTATCTGAAGAATGTATTTTAGGGTATCCTTGGTTTTTAGAACAACAAGTAGTTCTAGATACTGTTAGATCTTGTATGTATTTTGGTAAAATATTCGAAGAACTATTTATTTTGCTAATGGAACTCCTCCTTCTGGAACAGTTATAAATAATATTTCATTAAATCATCTCGATGATCTCATTAAAGACCAGTACGAAGCTATTTTGGATGAATATTCTTATCTTTTTGATGAAAGTCTAAAGAGACCAGTTACCCGTACAATTGAACATGATATTCGATTAAATTCTAATAAACCTATCAAAATTAAGCCATATCCTTTAAGTGAACACAAAAAGCGAATAATGAATGAACAAATTCAGGAAATGTTATCCGCAGGAGTAATTGAATCTTCTATCTCTCCTTATTCATCATCACCTGTTATTATAGAGCGTCCCGATAAAAAGCCTAGGTTTTGTGTCGATTATAGGGCTTTAAATCAAGTAACCGAGGATGAATTTACTAAACTTCCTAAAGTGCATGAAACTTTGAAAGAGTTAGGAGTGGCTAAGATATTTACTTCTCTTGACTTAAGAAGCGGGTATTGGCAGGTCGGTCTGTCAGAACGCTCAAAACCTCTTACTGCTTTTTCAACGCCTGACGGAGGACATTATCAGTTCACGGTAATGCCCTTTGGACTTAAAAATGCCCCTACTAGTTTTCAAAAATTAATGTCCGAAGAGGTTTTGACCGGCTTTTTACATAAATTCGCATTAGTTTATCTGGACGATATAATTGTTTATTCACGAAATCATGAAGAACATCTGAAACATTTACATCTTATTTTAGAGCGGCTTAGCCTTCATGGTCTCCAAATCTCTCCAAAAAAATGTCATATTGCTAAAAATAATTTAAATTTTCTTGGTCATCATATAAAAGGAGATTGCAATACTCCACAAGAATATCATTTAAATGAAATTTTAAATTATCCGACCCCAAAAAACAAAAAACAGTTACAATCTTTCATTGGGACAATAAATTGGTTAAGGGAGTATGTGTTTGGGTTATCCATATTAACCGCTCCTCTTGTTGATCTTTTATGTAAAAAAGCTAAGTGGAAGTGGACTGAAGTCGAACAACGTGCATTTGACGCAACAAAAAATGCATTTTCACAACCTCTAAAATTGCATCGTCCTGATCCTACATTACCTTTCTTACTACAGACTGATGCTAGTGACTTAGGAATGGGAGCTGTACTGTTTCAAGAGGGCGAAGGGGGGAAAAAGCAAGTGATCTCATATAGTAGTGCGCGTTTAAATATGACCGAGCGAAAATATCATATTAACGAAAAGGAGTGTTTATGCATTGTTTGGGCTATAAAAAAGTATAGACAGTTTCTTGAGGACAGAAAATTTAAATTAATAACCGACAACAGAGCGTTGCTCTGGCTTAATAAATATAGAGATTCTAAGGCTAAACTGACTCGTTGGTCTCTTTTGTTATCTGAGTTCAATTTTGACATAGAACATTGTCCAGGTAAATTAAATTTGTTTCCCGATTTTCTATCGCGTAACGCTAGAAACGAACAGACATCGTTAACGGAATATGACATGTCACGATTGATTCCTCCTGAAAATAGACAGGACCAAAAATTCGAAATTAATAACTCAAATTTAATTCATTTAAATTATTTAGCTCCTATTGATGACTCATCTCTCTATAAAAACATCTGCTTAGCTCAAACTACCGATCCCGAATTAAGACAAAAGGTTTCTCGCTGGAATTTTTTACAAAGCAATCTTTCTTGTTCTTCAAATGATCGTCAGTTATTGAACAATTATTTAGTTAAAGATGATTTACTTTTTAAACAGGACACAGGTCAAGTAATAGTTCCTACAAATGTAATTGAAAGAGTGCTTTATTTTTATCATGATTCGCCATGGGCAGGTCATCCAGGTCGTGATGAAATGTTTAACACTATTAATCAATATTATTATTGGTCAGAAATGAGAAGTGACATTTCTAAATATACAAAAAATTGTTTAGTTTGCCTAAGTGTCAAAGGTAGGAACTTACAACAATCAGCCACGATGACTGCTCATGTTGCGACTAATCCGGGAGAAATTTTTAGTATCGACATAATGGGACCTTATCCGAAAACGGGTTCAGGTTGTCGTTTTTTGATTACTGTAGAAGATCTCTTTACTCGCTGGGTTGAAGCTAAACCAGTACCTACTGTTCGGTCTAAAGACATAATTCATTTTTTGAATAATGAAGTATGTTGTAGACTAGGTTATCCTAAAACCATTATATCCGATAACGGTACACAATTTATGTCAGAAAATTGGAAAAATTTCTGTAAAGAATATCATATTAATCACGTAACTTCACCAATATATCATCAACGTGCCAACCCAGTTGAGCGTAGAAATCAAGAAATCAAAAAAGTTTTAAAAGCTCAATTATTTAATAAAAACACACAAAATTGGGACAAGAGACTGCCTCGTTGTTTATTTGTTTAAGGAACCGAACAAATGCCGCAACAGGACTATCCCCTGCTATGAGTCTGCTGGGATATTCGCTTAGTGCCCCAGGAGAACGGGATCATCCCAAATTCGCAGTACCTGTTATCAATAGAGGACACATGCGAGAACAGCGTTTGCAGAAGGCTAGGGAAAACCAAGAAGCATACCAAGGCAAATACACGAATGGCATGTCACGCCATCCAACGTTTCAGTCTGGAGACCAAGTGTTGGTTCGATCCATGACCACAAAACCTGGAGAAGCCTTTAATCCTGCCTGGGAAGGACCCTTTACTATCATTAGCCCCTTGAGTGAGGCTGTCTACTTTGTATCAAGGAATGGTGTAGACTGTAAAATTCATATTGATGACATTAGACCGATACCTCCCGAACGATTACTCAGTTTCCAGAAAAATCCAAAAGTTGGATCATTTACTTCTGTCAGCTCAGAGGAGTTAGAGGAAGAGAACAGGGAATATGGAATAAGCCCCCAGTCAAGTAATCCCGATATGGAGCTTGAAAACGTCATGAAGTATCTTGACAGGTCTTCCATTGAAATTGAAGTTTGTTCGACAATAGCTCTGTATCATCATGGAATTCTGACGATAGTAAGCCTACCTGCATATTACCTGATCAATACCCTAAATTGACTACTCGTACTCGTAAAGCACCAATCTTCCTTAACGATTATGTTTGTAATTAACAGTTTAGTTATACCAACTTGTACTTATATCACTAAGTTACTAGTATAACTTTGTTTTTAGATATAGAAATATCTTTATTATTTAGTCTTAGATAAGATTAATTGAATGTTAATTTCATAACATTCTTGCAGATTGAAAAACTGTAGGATTGATTATTTTTATGTTACAAGTCCGAAGACATGTAAATAATTACCTTAATTGTATTATTTTCTTTGAATTCTTTCTGAATTTTGTTTTCTTGTGTAAAGAAAAGAAAAAAAAAATTTAGTAGGCCGCTGGATATACGAAAAGTTAAAATTTTAGTGATATATGCATAGACTAGATTCTTGTTTTATAGACTGAACGGTTATAAGGAACTTGTTTATAAGTATTTTTTTTTGAATTTCTATGACTAAGTCTTATTGTAAATTGTTTTGATTTTATAGTTACTATGTTGTTAAAAGGAATTAATGTTACTAAATTTTTGTTCGGAACTTTAGTAATAAAACGACATTTTGAAAAAACCACGAAAATTCCATCTTAGCAGGGGGGGTGTTATCGATACCTCCCTAATTAAAATACAAAAATTGGCAACCCCGGAAGTGGCAACAATGTAAAAGAAAAGATTATTAAGAAGAGAGTCGCTCACCGGCTTCGAAAGACGTCGTCACGGGATGGTCACGGTCACAAAAAGAATAAGGTGGAATTTTCGAGGCGAGCAGGTGTCCAATACAAGCGTAATGGTTTTATTTTCTAGGTAAGATCCTTTTTATTCCCTATAAAATTCAAACAAGTAGATTATCGATCTCGATCGGTAGAGCTAGCCGGTAATAGGTATTAATCAATAATATTAATAAAAAATCGAGAACGATAACAAAAGTTACAAACTAATCCAAAAATTTGTATAATTGCTATAGTAATTATAAGCAACAGCCCAATCCTACATATTTTATTGCAGTTAAAAAATATTATAGCAGCATAATATGCTGCTATAATATTTGCTGAGCATATTGTATTTAAATATTTTAAATTACCTACCATAAATTACGTCATAAAAACAGAAAAACGCCTTCCGCGGCCTTCCTATTCCAAAAAAAAACGATTTAGGTAGGGACGAAATATTAAGAAACATCGATACATGTCTCAGGTTTATCAGGGTATATCATCAGTTCATATTTCATAGATTTTGAATTAAATTTATAGGCGTAATACGTCTAGACGCGAGTAATACGTCTTTTCTTAATTTCATATTTGAAAAAGAAAAAAGTAAACGTAAATAATGTTTGTGAACGCAAAATAATTATATCTTAGACAAAAAAAATTATCTAAAAAAAAATATTATTTTAGAGAAATCACTGCTGCTAATCAATAGATACAATATGGTGATAATTCCTTTGTATATTGTACACTTAATTGCATACCTAATTGGTACAATAGCCTCCGTATGTAGAATCCTTGTATATGAATTTTACAAAGAGAGTGGTTTATCTGTATAATATTCTGTCCATGGTAATGTTTTAACGTATTATCTGCCAAAGAAAAGTTTAAATATAGCATTTATAGAGTTTCCTTCGTTATATTTATTGATATAACAAGTATTTTGTTTTTTAAATTTTGGAACACAATGTTTATATCAATATATCGATATATTTTTAATATACATATCGATATTTTTAATATATTTTTGCTTTTTGCCCTCTCTACTACCGACACGATGATCTGTGGATGATCTACCGACACGAGCGCCAGCGGAGCCATTCTAAACCCGAACCAGTCGCCATTTTGTAAGATATTGAGATTGAGTGGCATGATTAGTTCGTTGTGGACTTTAAATTCGTGAAAAATGTGTAGATACGATTAAAATATGGACTAAATGGATATAATAGTGTGATATTAATAATTGCGAAGATAGTCATGTAAGTACTCTAATTGCCTAAGTTTCCCCAAAAAAGGCAATCCATTGTTTTTCTGTACTCCATATGACGTTAATATTTATCATGCTAATTAAGTTCGTATTATCAAAAGCTCGAAATTTTATACGTTTAAAATTGACTACATAACAATTTAAAGTCTTTCTTTACACGTTCCTATTGCTTTATATGCGTTTTGATGGGAAATACAAAGAAAATTTTATATTAACCTAATTTAGGGTTGATCATGTCGTTTATGAAATATTTTTTATCACTATCAGGTATTAATAACCCCGAAGTTTTGTTTGCATTCTTACCTGGACTAAATAGACAATATTGTCATAATGTTTTTATAACATAGCCTCGAAAATGGATTGACCCGTTTCTATATTTGTATTATTTCCTTTCAGTTTGTTGGTGGACTTCTCTGTGGAAGTAGTGTCTGTGATAAAAGTGCAAAATGACGACCGCAGAGGAAATTAAGACGGAATACACTTCAAGCTTGGCAGATTTAACTTTCAATAGCAAGCCCCTCATTAATATGTTGACAATGCTTGCTGACGAAAATTTGCCAAATGCCAGGGTCATTGTTGAAGCTATAGAAGAACATCTGTCTAAGGTTATTTTTTATGTTACTTTAGAAAAGTTATATGTAGGCTTATAATGCCACTAATGCATTTTAGCCTGCACAGAACCAGATAATTAAATAATTTAGATATAATTTAATTTTTTATTAAATATTTTCAATTCAAAGTATAATTTTTTGGTTCTGCTTTTTTTCATTATTTAACTAAGAGTTCCTAGTTTTTGTGATATAATATATTGCAATAAAATATTTTGAAGTAAGTCAGTTATTTTTACATTACATATTTTTTTAATTTATTTCAATATCTAATCCATTTCTTTAGTTCTACAAAACTTGGACCAATTATTTCCAAAAATGGTGTGCATTATCTATTAGTAATTTAGAAGATGGCTACAGTGGTTTATTTTATTATAACTTTGTGTGATTATTACATTTTAGTGTTTTCAGGTTATTTCTTTCAACAGAATATTAATATGCTTATCGTTAGTATTTAAAATGTTTATTATTAGTTACAATTCAAAGTAATATAATGGGTCATTTATATGGTAACTAATAAAGTAAATTTAGAAAATTGTCTTTTATTTATTCTTGGGCTAGTGTAATATTAATATAGTGACAACCACCTAAGTCTATTTTTTCTTAGACAAATACCATAAGAACTACAAAAACAGTCTGAATTTAGTGTTATTCTAATACAATACATATAAAGATATTCTGCATCAGAGTTTTAAGTGTACAGAGTGAATTACCAACAGAACAAAGTGCATCTCATTTCTCAGGATTACAAAAAATCGTTAAATACAATAGGAATTTTTAGGAAATGTTGAGGTAGGTACATAATTTAAAATATTTTAAATTTTAGTGTATTTTTGTGTAAAATTTTCTATAACATTTTTGTTAGACTATACCTAAAACTACAGTTATATAACATTTCAATTTTAATTAGTTAACTTTAATACTCAGTAACATCTTACCCATGTATTTCTACATACAAGCACTAACAACTAAATGTTCGGTCAAACATCTACATTTCCATAAACTACAATTTCTTAATTTAAGAACTACCTATATTAGAAATATATTAAAATGTAACATTTCTAATGAGTATTTAAATAGTTTGGTTTCTATAAACATTTAAACAAACTATAGGAGAATAAATAACAAAAGCATTGTTAAAAAAATTGAACTAACTGTTCTAATATGGCGTTATACCGGCATGGGCTTTTATAACCACTGCAAGTCTGTCAACATTGTTTTTATTAATGATTGACATACGCCAGGGTAAAAATTTGCCATAATTCACTTAATATCATCGTCAAATGAGTACCGGTTTGTTAGAGTTCGTCACACAATTTTGTTTTTATTTTATACCACAATGTCTTGATAACATTAAGGTCTGGACTGTGTGTGAAAGCCATGAGAGGGCCTTGATGTCAACATCCTAAACCATTTTTTAGTAGTTTTACTCATACGCATGCACCAGGCATGGTAAAGGTCTCTCCCACTTGTTACAAGAATGTTTTTTAAAATATCTTGATATTTTGACTCATGAAAGATTGCCTCAAAAGGACAGTGAAATTTCCTAAAGGCATTATGCTTTTAGGGTCTCTGTCCAAAATAGGTCCAAGAAGGTATGAGGTGGTAGAAGGCACAATTGATGTGTCAAAAAATCAAGAAATTTTGAAAAATAGTCTTGGGCCAAGTGCAAAGGACCTTTACCAGGACAATAATAATTATGTATTTCAACAGTACTAAAAATGGTTTAGGGACAGTAACATCAGAGTCCTCTCGTGGCCTTCGAACAGTTTAGACCTTAATGTTACCGAGACATTGTGGCATAAAACAAAACAAAAATTGCGTGACGATCCCCAACGAACTGTTGTCCATTTAACGATGTTATTATGTGAATTATGGCAAAAATTTTACCCTGGCGTATGTAAACCATTAAATGCACAACCAGACAGGACTGCTGCTGTTGTGAAAGCGCATAGCGATGTAACGCCATATTAAAGTAGTTATTTCTTAAAGTCTTTGAACATTTAGTTGTTACGATATTGTGCAATGTTTTTCTTTATTTATTAGCCTACAGTTTATTTTAATGTTTATAAATACTAAACTATTTAAATACTCATTATAAATTATGTATTTTAATTAATGTAGTTCTTAAATATAATTCCGTTTGTGTAAATTTAAGTTCACAATAAATTTGTGTTTGTCCGAATATTTAATTGTTAGTACAGTGTACCTGATCATAAATTTATATATTTTGATATTTTATATCAAATTCTTTAAAGCAAATGGTTTAAAATAAGTGTATACTGAAAAACAAAGTTCTGTGTACCTCAACATTCTCTAAAATTATTGTATTTAAAATTTTATGTAAGAAAGGAAATGAATAATGAACTGGCTTTACAATATTCTGACTATATATTGAAGTGAATTTAATAAATATAATGGTTTTTTGATCATATCATTGTCAATAAAATGAATTGCCGTGTTCTAAAAGTGTACTAATTTATCATCAGAACTTAATTTTAAAAACAAATATATATTTTATTCACAATTCACACATCATTATTTATTTGATGAACTTTAGTACCTTTTAGTTTGCATTTAAATTTTTGTATTTTCATTTTATTGAATATTTTTGCATGTACTGGTTTAAATACTTTCAAGAATAGTGTGCAATAATGTGTTTTATAAAGGGCAGTGCCAACAACTAAAAAGGTGAGTTCTTTACTTGGGTTCAATATGTCTGGTCTCACATAGTTCTTTGGGGTCGCACCACTCTGGCACTTTGTGCCATTGTATCGGTTTTTTAATCGCGGTGCGATCCCTTTAGACACACATTTATTAATACTAATATTATTCTGTAAAACTTAATGGGGTCTAATAAAGAAATTTGAATTTGAAATACTACAAGAAAAAACTTCAAGAAAACAACAAATGAAACAATATTAGTCCCAGTGTACTTCTATGGATTTGCAGGTTGAAAGATTTTTGATCTTGAAAGTAAAGTATTATGTCTTCTGGTAGTTTGTTCTTTGGGATTCTCTGTTTTGAATTTCCAATTTTATGGAAACCCCAATCTTTGCTGGTTGAAATTGTTGTTCCAAAGTTGTTATTGGACTCTTCTGTCTGGGTATTGATGGATCTACCTTTTAGAATACGGCGATTCATGTTTATACGACATTCAAGCAAAAAAAAAGAGAATTTTTCATAATCACTTCATAATGACTAGTGCTCTTGAGTTTTGATGAAAAAGATATTGACAGGAAATTGAAACAAAGTCGCTACTACAGCGTAGGTCTTTTCTTTCCATATATAGGTCTCAGCCGATGTTAAACTACCAATTCTATACCTAATCGACTGCATAGTGAAAAACGTAGGACAAAGATACACCAGCTTATTTAGCCAGAACATCGTAACGACTTTTTCCAGCGTATTTAAAGTGGTAAGTATTATTTTTATTGATTTTATTTTACGATCAAAATATTACACGTATTACAGTGCAGTGTTAATTCTTTTGTCTTTATCTAAGGTGGATGAAAAAACCAGATCGGAGATGTTCAAGCTTCGGCAGACATGGAATGACGTATTTCCCCAAACAAAGCTGTATGCGATAGATGTCCAGATCAACATGATCGACCCTGCTTGGCCAGTCACTGCCCAACCGGCGAACAGTATTCATTTGAATCCTAAGTTTTTAAAAGGGGTAAGTCACAATTGGTTACATTGAAACTAACTGACGTAGTCATAGATGCATTAAACATGATCTTAGAACACAGATCTTTACAACACATGTAGGTAGATCTATTATTATAAATTGAGTAAGAAGACGGAGTAAACCATTATTTATATATACAAACATCAAAGACAGAAGTAAATACGATTTTAAAATTGCTTTGGCTCACTTGTTTTGTCGAACTGCTTGAATCCAATTTTGCTTTTGATCAAATTGATGTGAAGCTATAAAATTTTGTTTTGAGAGAGCTGAATATCCGGGAAAGTCGAGTTATTGAATGTTATTGCACCCAACAAGCACGTAATTACGCCCTCTTTTAGTGTTAACATATTTTCAGCACTTTTATTAACATTTGAAATTGTCAAGGTGCGTTCTCGCCGGCCGCGACGCTCAAAACATTTTTTTAACATGTACTTTTGAAGTGTTTTTTCTTAGCGCTCACAAAAGTATATATTAAAAAAAAATGATTTGCGCGGCGCGGCGCGGCCGGTGTAGACGCACCTTTACAGCACATCGCGACGTCCAGTTCGGGTTCCTTTTCACTTAATTTTTACTACCCGAAACAGCGTTACATCACACACACTTAGTACATGAGTGTTTTATAGTTTCAATAACTGCTCTAGTAAAAACTAAAATACTGAAATATTATGACAAAGCCAAGATTTTAATATTATTTCAATGCTATCAACATCGGAACTGCGTGGATTACAGAGCCGAAAACTTCTGATTTCTGCCGTATCGAGTGCTACGGTCGGAATTTTTAAAATCAAAATAATTAAATGCACTAAGCCTATATGGACATTAAGAGGAAAAAAATATCATCAGAAATCTCTCATCCCTCTTTTACAGTTATGTTTTGGGATCACAAATCATTTTGCCATATTTATTTTATAGAATACCCCTGCTAAACCGAAATCAGCTAACGACGTGACATCAGATTTGATGCTGAAACCCGGGATGCCGTCACCGGATAGAGAAACGTTGCTAATGCAAGAGCAGCTTATTCAAAAAAAGAAGGAGCTTTTGGAACTTCAAAGAAAGACGCTCGAACTGGAGGTGTTACAAACGCAGGTCAAACTGCAAGAACAAATGAAAACTGGAGCTCCGCCAGTCAGTACGGTACGTTAAAAATTGTTTGGTTTAATTTTAGAACATAAGTTTTATTTCTAAGTTTTATTTTTATGAGTTTGTAATTTTTACTATGAATATCTTTTAATACTGGGTTATTTGTTTTACAGAATATACTTTTAAAACCGGAAGTCGCCAAACAATTGATTCCTGATATGGTGCCCAAAACAAAAGCACCTTTGGTAAGTGTCTATTTTAAATTATTCACTTTGAAGCCCTTTTGATTATTTTATATATTGGATGTCAAGACTTTTTAGTACGCTAAATTTTTTGTTCAGAAATTTTTTGAGATTCATATTTTATTTCTTTTAAATTAGTATGTTTTGTTAATTTAAAAAATGGGGTTAGATGATAAAATATTGAATGAAGTTAAGGAAAAAAGTTACTCACAATTTGATATACACCTCTGTACCAAGTTTTATAAATGCACAGATATATTTTTTTTATATTCACCAGAGGATTAGTGAATCGAACAATATTTTTTGTTGATTGTTCTGTAAATAAAATTAATTTCTTTGAAAGCCTATATAAATTAAATTTGTGACAGAGGTTTATTGACCAAATTCTGAACAATTTTTTTCTTTTTTTTGACATTTATCGATATTTTGTTACCTAGCCTCACTTATTGCCTGTGTAAAATTATTGCAAAATTGCTATTTTTGTTACTGAGTATGCTGAAGAAATTCCGCATAAGTTTTCGTTCAATAACTCAATAGAAAAATTCCATTTATTGCGAACCTTTTTGGAACACCCTGTAGAGAATAAAATAAGTGTCATTGTGATATTTTTGTTTCAGGGTAATTCTATGATGAACCAACGGTTACAAAACGCCTCTCAACCCCGAATAAACCCCGTAAACCCGTCACTGGCCACGGCGAAACCAATCAGGGATCCCCGTCTACTACGGCAACAGCGCATGTTACAACAACAACAGCAACAACAACAGGACCTCCAAAAGGCAGAGCCGGAACCGTCAGCCGCACCTACTACTACTATACCATCATCACAAAAATCTTCCCTATTTGAAAACAATAAAAATCTAACCAGTAAACAAGGTGTAAGAGATATTCATAAAGATCCTCGTCTCTCAAACAAAACCGACAAAAAATCCAAAACATCCCCGAAATCCTACCAAGCACCCCCTACGACTAATCCCGAACCAGTTAAAAATAACGAGAATAGTCAGAAAGCTGACCGTTCGCCGGTTAAGTCTAATTCTAGCGCAAGTTTCTCTAGTTCAAGTTCGAGTAGTCTAGATTCGCCGACTAAAAGTAAGGTTAGGTCAGGTTCGAACAAGAACAAAAAACGCGATAAATCGGAAGACGCTTCTTCTGCTGTAAACAAACGGGGGAAATTGTCTAAAAACGATAATGGTACGTTTAGTAGTAAAAATTCTGACGACGGTTCTACTTTTAAAAGTGTCAAAACGTCGAGAAATCGTAACTATATAAGGAGAAATTTGCCAGAGAGTCCGGTGTTGCAGCAGGACCAAGATTTGAGGACATTGCCGTCGGTGAACGATTCTCAGAGGGTTCAACAGAGTGAAACAGCTACAGATCAACCACCAGGTATGACAAAAGATTAAGGTTCTATGAGATTATGTTTAAATTATTGTTTTTCTTTTCTGTTATTACCACTGATACAAAAGATTTTTTCTACAGAATGGGTCAGATTTTACAAACATACTTTAAGCCCCGTCTACACGTAGTGTTTTACCTGTCAGTCTTACCCGTTCAGTCAAAATGTTTCAAGTAAAACCTTGTGTAGACGAAAAAAAATGTCCGTTTTGAATTGAATTAAGATGGAAGACCGTTTAGAGAACTGCTGGGATCATTCAGTTTCACCTAGGGTTTCCATAGGTCCGGATTTTTAAAATGTCCGGGACAGTCCAGCCCGGATTTGGAAAAGCGTCCGGGAAAGCTGACCCCAAAAACAATTTAACTTGGTAAAATATTTTACCAGTTACAGTTGAATTAAGTTCTCAGTTACATTGTTGAATATTTTAGTCTCGACGATGCTACAGGTCTACTTAACCGACGAATGTCCGAAAGTACCCATTTCTATACTTTGGCGCTCAAATTTTTCGCTTTTGGTGCACTCCTGGAAAGTGAATGTTTTTTTGGTTTATATTTTATTGATTCCGGGGCTATTATTTGTGTCCTATTCATTATATTCTTATTCATATGTCAGTTCATTAATAAATTTATAGTTTCTTTTTCGATGTCCGGATTTCTGAGTTTAGTTGTCCGGAACTTCCAAAAGCCTTTATGGAAACCCTAGTTTCACCATAAATGTCATTTTGCCTACGCTGTACAAAAATACAATTCTGTAGTAAAATTTCAGGATTTTCTTTTCAACTACACCAAACACAATGCTATAATTGATAAAACCCCAGATAAAACTTCCAGTGTATACGCATTTTCATCCGTTTTACCTCACAGGTAAAATGTTATGTATACCGATTGCGTCTCAAAAGTGGCTCACCCCTATAACTTTTTTATTTTTTCCGATAAAAATCCTTGATTTGAACTTTGAAAAAGAGATTTGGTATGTTAGTATGTGACATAAATTAGGATTGATTGACGTATTCAATTGTTTTCGGTCATTTCCTGTTTCACCGGAAATGATGACAACTTTTAATTTTTAAATATTGAGGCAGAAAATTACACTCTGAATATAATGACATATCATATGTTAACTTTTGACATTTTTGCTTTATTTTTATCAAAATTGTATTTTAAATTTCAATTTGTGCCATGGCTGTGTTACAAACACTAATTGTTAATCAGGAAGCCTGGGAAAAATAGATTTGATAGTCTAATATTTTTAGTGTCTTGTCCTGGCCGGTTAAAAGATGCCTACATCGTATTTTTAATCATATTTCAATTTTTTCAAATGGAACGAGGGTGGCTCATTAGCATATTTGGAAAAAAGCATTTTTTAACGAATAATTTGATACCATACACTTGGTATTTCGAGTCAAATTGCGTTATGAATCGCATGTTGCAATTTAAAATAAGCCATGTTCAAGAATGTCAAAAGTTGACATAAGATATGTTATTCTATATTTCTATATCAGAGTGTCATTTTCTATCAAATAAAGTAATAAAATACCGAGAGTGCCATTTAAAAATAAAAAGTTGTAGTCATTTCCGGTGAAACAGGAAGTGACCGAAAACAATTGAATATGTCAATCAATCATTATCAATTGTCATATACTATCATGCCAAATCTCGTTTTTTATCTGAAAAAATAAAAGTTATAGGGGTGAGCCACTTTTGAGACGCACCCGGTAGACGGGGATTTAGGTTTAATGGTATTGAAAAAAGAAATACCAATCACAGGATTTAATGCACGAAATAAATATGGGTTTCTGAAGAAACTGCATTCAAGAAAATTTGTATCATATTTATTTATTAATATTATATTTACAGAGGCACTAAAACCAATGGATGTCGATCTAAGGCAGCTACCTCCAGCTATAAGCAAAAAACGTTCTTCAATCGAACCTGCTGATCAACCATCAAAGAAAAGTAAAAGTTTTGATATGTAAGTATTTCACAGAAAAACTGATGAGTTTTGCAGTTCCCCTCGCACATAATATCTAATTACTCTATTCATTGATTTATTTATATTTTTAGGCTATTCGGTAACGAGGACACGGATTTGAGGCAATTACCTGTAACTGCGGAAAACAAAACTGCCGAACGACCTCCTACGCCTCCTCCTCCCATAATATCAGCGAAAGAAACTGAACAGCTGAATCAGAAATCTCAAAAACCCGACCTAGATGCTATTCGGGCCAAACTAGCAAACGCCACCAATCGCGAAAAAGTACTATCAAAGTCATGTATGTATTTTCTTTTTAATTATTTTTTTTTTCTTCTATAACTTGATTTCTTTTCAGTTAACAAAAAGAAACTCCTCGGGGAATCTATGGAAGACTTAGATTTGCGAAAAAGCCTGTCGCCGAGTATGAAGAGCAAAATTATGATCTCGCCCGAGGAAGAGAAGGTTATCAAGTCAGGCCACATGACTAAAGAACAAGAAAAACAATTCTTGAACAAGATCTTCATGCAGATCGAAAAGAATAAACTACGGGAAGCCCAGGAGAAAGATAACGAGGAATCCAGCCATAACATGTCGTTACAGCCAATCAGTGACGATGAGCTATCATTTGACGGCGATGACGTGGAAGAACCACCCAAAGATAAAGACAACAGAAACCTGCTACTCGAAAATCGAGGCCTTACGGCGTTTAATGATAAAGATGAGAGATTTAGTGTGTCCCAAATGCCTGTAATTCCCCCGGAAGAAGATAATATCGTGCCTCAACCAGTACAGTTTTATCCTAGAGCTCTTCGACCTCCGTTTAGAGGGATGATGCAGTGGAGAGGTCGAGGCAGAGGAGTTATGCCTCAAGCGGGTCTTCAACCAAGACCTCCTATCAGACCGTGGTTGCACCAACAACCCAACTGGAGGAATGCTATGGGTGCGCCTCATTGGCCTCAAGGTCCAGACTATGGTGCTCCTGTCATGGCCGATGATGAAGCATCTAGAAGTCCCGGACAAGACGGAGCTTTACAAGAGTTCACAGTACTGCAGGAAGAAATCAAGACTTTGAGTATAGACGGCGTGCCGAGGGATATAAGGATATATAATGATACCGCCGTGATTTTCTTGAATTGGGACGATCCCCGGGAGATATCTTTTCAAACCGGCGTGCGACATGTTTCCTTCAACAACCAGGAAACGTACCTTTTGTCTTTTGGAGAGGGTTATAAAGAGTGCCTTATTAACGGATATACATTCATGGTGAAACTAGGTGTCCCAAGTCGGGAAATCTTTATCAACGACGTGGGCTTCGAGTGCTTCTTCGGGGGAAACCCCATCAACGTCACCGTCGGCGGAATCAATCTCAGCGTGAAGCTCGAAGGACCGCCGCCCCAAGTCAAAATCGGCGAAGTGAAACGGACGGACCTAGTCGTGGGCAAGATCAACCTCATCATCAACGCTAAGATCATCGTGCCCGTGTTTCTCGACGGCAAAGTGCAAAAATTTGCTATCGACGGCGTTCCCAGCACGTTAAAATTTGTAGATTCGTTGAAAAGAGTTTTAATAAATGATGTTCCTTTTAACGTTGAATTTGGTGGTCTTCCTAAACCCTTTACTGTCAACGGTAAAAAGCATTTTATCAGGTTTTCAGTGTTGCCCAAAGGAGTGAAGCCTGGGTCGGTGCGGATCAGGGATATGGAGGGGGAGAACGGTGTGAGTCCTAGGAGGGAGGAGCCTGGTCACGTGACGTTGGTGGCCGGAGGGGAGGAGCCTGTTGGGTCGTCGGAGTTGGTTTCCAGGCCGATGACAGGCTCCCTGTCGCCGGATAATAGGAGTAATTCGCCCAACTTCTTCAGTAATATATTGCAACCGTCTCTAAGTGAGTATGAATTTGGTAATATTTTTCCACATTTTTTACTGATATTATTATTTAATTGTGAAAAAACTTATTTGGATTGACATGTTTTAGAGGTATATAAACAAAAATATACAGGGGCTCTGTTACAGTGTGTCCATACCTAAATTATGTACTAGGAGGTATTTTTTTAGGAAAATATTTTCACTGGGTGACTTATGAAAATGTGATTGGACGAGGGTGTTTTTTTAAATGGAATATATTGTATATTTTAGCATTTTTGGTTTCTTTCAGCATTCTTGGATTCAAACCAAACCAAACCAATCCAAATCACTCTACAGAATCCTGTGTTATTAGATTTGTTTTGATCCAGATAAATAATTAAGCAAATAAAGTAATTTTGCAGCATTATTTATATAATATTTAAAATAAAAATTAGGGCTCTGAAATCAAAACAACGTTAGGTCTTTACTACCTCAAAAGTGGCCCACCCCTATAACTTTTATTTTTTCAGATAAAAAACGAGATTTGGTATGATAGTATATGACAATTGAAAATGATTGATTGACATATTCAATTGTTTTTGGCCACTCCCTGTTTCACCGGAAATGACTACAACTTTTGATTTTTAAATGGCACCCTCAGTATTTTTTTACTCTGTTCGATAGAAAATGACATTCTAAGAATAGAATGACATATATGTACATTCATAGAATGACATATCATATGTCAACTTTTGACATTCTCACTTAATAAAAAATCGTATTTTAAAATTCAATTTTTAATCAAATCTCAATTTTTTCGAATGGAATAAGGGTGGCTCATTAGCATATTTGGAAAAAGCATTTTTTTACGAATAATTTGATACCACACACTTGGCATTTTGAATCAAATCTTCGTTACGAACCGCAAGTTATTATTTCAAATAAACCATATGCGAAAATGTCAAAAGTTCACATATGATATGTGTTCAGAGTGTTATTTTCTATCGAATAAAATAAAAAATACCGAGAGTGTCATTTAAAAATCAAAAGTTGTAGTCATTTCCGGTGAAACAGGTAGTGACCGAAAACAATTGAATACGTCAATACAATCCTAATTTATGTCATATACTAACATACCAAATCTCGTTTTTTTAACTGAAAAAATAAAAAAACTTATAGTGGTGAGTCACTTTTAAGACGCATCCGGTATTCCTAACGTTGTTTTGATTTCAGGATGTTAATTTGTAGTTCTTGATATTTAAAAAAACGGTACAAAATATATTTTTTATTAATCAATTTATTTCTCAGAAACTATAAAACAAATTCAATAAAAATATACGATTATGTAATTAGGAAGGAACCCAAAAATACAATAACCTGCAGTTCCATTTAAAAAATCCACATCCATGAAATTTCTATGAGCATATTATACAACCCAGAGATGCCCTGACACTGTTGCAGGTCCCTGTATAATCTTTTCATTAAGAAAAGTTTGCTCTTATTAATAAACTTAATCTAATAACATACTTTATAGATAATTTCGACGTTATCTCTAACGTTCTATCTACCTCTCTAACACCCGCCACACCGAGTTCCGGCAGCTACCAAGTCGAAATACCCGGCATAGACGGTACCCAAACCCAGGACGGTACTCAACCTCAACAGCCTCCAACACCCCAAATCCCACCGATCAACATCAACGATCTTTTCGAAAAACTAGTCGCCTCAGGTTTCGTCAAAACCAGAGAAACCCAAAGTAATGTACCTCAGAGCAACAACATAGGGTTCAACAGTAATGGAACTACAAATAGTGTTGTACCTACCATTCCAGAATATACGCCAACCGAGAAGAACAGTATTATAAAACCAACCAGAAGGACCGTAGTTGACGTATTGAAACCTGTGACCTTTGCAAGGCCTGAAACGTTGAAAATCCGACAGGCAGCGCTGTATGCGATGTTGTATTCAGGCATGCAATGTTCGAGTTGTGGAATGAGGTTTCCTCCGGAAGCCAGTATGCTGTACAGCCAGCATTTGGATTGGCATTTCAGGCAGAACAGGAAGGGTAAAAAGAATGCCAGGGTTGCCAGTAGTCGAAGATGGTACTACTCTTTGACGGATTGGAAGAACTATGAAGAGATCGAAGATCTAGAGGAAAGAGGTAATGATTAGTAACGAAACCTTATAATGGATAATTACCAATTTGATTCTATTTCAGAAAAGAACTATTTTGATCAGCAGCAGCAGCAGCAAGCTGAGGTGGCTGAAGAAAATGAGGAAGAGGTGGAAATACCAACAGTACCAGCCGATCCTGGAAGTACTGACGAAATGTGCCAAGTGTGCAGGTAAGTTAATTTAAAAGCAGTTTCGAAATGTAAGTTATTTTAACTTAATTATAATTTTTAGGGACGCATTTGAGCAGTTCTTCAATGAAGAAAAGGAAGAATGGCATTTGAAGAATGCGATAAAAATTGATAACCAAACTTACCATCCGGTTTGTTATGAAGATTATCAGGTATGTGTTCTATACGTTTTTTTTTTCTTTTGAAAATCTCTTAATAAGTAGCGATAAGAGAATCGGCAAAAATGTTAAGAATTATTTTTTCAGGTTAGTTGAAAATAACTGTAAAAATGTATTAGTGTGTGTTAAAATGTAAATACAGTATGTTTTTCTAGAATTTTGCTTATAGAAACAAATATACCGTGCTGGCAACTCTTACTTTTGGGTCGGTATTTACATGTGTGGAAGTAAATCACATAGGGATCTTATTAAGTCGGAGTGAGAGAAATACGACAATGTGCTGTTGTGGCGTTGCTACATTTCTCCGGTACGCCTTTCTCTGTCAAGTAAAGTAATATCACGATCGCAAACCGTTTATTTTTAAGACTTTTATTTAAGATAACTAGATAAAATCATTAGATATGTTTCTGAGCATCTGAAATGGAATTATAAGGATATCGTAAGGGTGTCCATTTTGTTTATAACGAAAAACCGTCAGTAATCGCGATAATTTAAAAACTCAACTTTTTAACACATAACATGCGATAACTCAAGAACTACTTTAGATATTGAAACTTTTTTTTTATTTTGAAATTCGGATCTTTTACAAGATGTTTAAATAAGAAAAATTCGATAGGCTTGTTTTTTTTTTCATTCAAAATTTAAAAAAAAACATCCATTTATTTTCAGTGCATTGCAATTTTCAGCAATCGTGTAATTTTTTTCATTTATAAAGATTTTCACATACTGTCTGCGAAGAAAATATAGCAGAAATATTGAGAAAACTTTTGAAAAAAAACTACAATCAATTATTTCTAATGGATTTCGAGATATCGATTTTTGAATTCAGAGTTCTAATAGCGCGACCCGTGTCGAACATCAACTGAATTCCACTTATTTTTACCAAAAGTGCCAGTGTTTCTAACTTGCACTTAAAAATTAAACTCGTTATAGACTCTTTAATAAATAAACAAATAAAGTATCACGAGACGTAATTAAATCGTGAAACTGAACGCATGATGTACAAGATGCATGGGTACTTAAAATTTCTTAGAATTGATATGGTACTGATTGGTTCGACCGCGACGAATCTGCTATACCCCCTTAGCAATGTGCACATTTTCTCGGTTTATTTCATACGTTTGGCAACGTTTTTACTGTTCTTTTTTTGTTCAGCACATTATAAACGCATTGCACTCTTACATACGGAAATCTCGACCCAATACTAACCTTTACCAGCCCTTAGTATAGAATTTGGATAACAGAGGAGATGGCAACGTCATAAGACTTAAGAAATTTCACGTGGCATGAAAGAGTTTTTTAAAATTTCTGGAAAAATGCAAATATTCCGATTTTCTTTTTGACAGAGCAATTCATGGGCGTGTTTCTTTTTTCTTATGGAGACACCTTCTATTTTGTTTTTGATTATCGACATCGACATCCTTAGTTGTCTACATTATTTTAAACTTTTTATACATGTTCTTTTTTTCAAAAATAACATAAACACAACATACAAAAATTAAGAACTACGTATTGTAGAAAATTAACAGAATATTAAAAGATTATATTATAATATAAATAATAGAATATTTGTAAAAACTTAAGCTACATTCATGAAAGGGATCTTTTATTTATTTTTAATTAGCAATCTATTTTGGAGTCGACCTTAGAGGAAAGCAAGCTTGAAGACGGCTCTTTACCTGCCCAAAACAAACTAATTCCCGGCCTGGAAATCATTCTGGACGACGACGATGATGAGGATGAAGTATACGAACCTAGAACTCCCAATGAAGTTGTGTCTCTTGAGGAAAGTGATGAATCAAAAACACTAGATGACGAGAAGAGTAAAGAAGGTAATAATATATTTTTAGAATAAATAGATTAAAGCTTTATATCAACTTTAAAAAATCCGATAACATTAAAATCGGATTAAAACATTTTTTCATGATTTCATTTTTAAAGTAATCGCAAAATAATTTCCGATGCACGTGATAACTTTGAGTGACAAGAGATGGCGACAACGCTGCCAGATTGTGATGGATTTATGAGATGAATCTTAATATAAAATTGGGAAACAATATATTTATTATAAAATTTTCTAAAGATTTTTACGTTTTATTTTTAATTTAATAATTAATATTTTAGTAATTAATTTATTTATTAATAGTAGTCACTGACACTCGCAGTAAAAATATTTAAACTTAAGGCAGCAACTACTGGCTACAAATCGAAAGAAGTATAAATAACTTTGAAAGTGGTATAATATGCCTACCAATCAAACTTACTTCTCTGACTGCAATAAAGGGTAATAAAGGACCCTTATTGTCACGTTCTCGTTCAAAATAGTTTATCAGGAAAGCTAAAAGCACTTTACTTCGACTGTTTAAATGCTTCGGCATATTTTCAAAACACAATTTCAAGAAATGCAATACAAAAACTTGAAAATTTAGTTCTTAAAAGAACTGTTGGTACTTAAAAGTACAATTAAAAAAAAAGACTTAGGAAAATCACCAAAAAACGAAAATTACTCCCAAAGATTAAACAACAGCACAATATTATATAAAATAATGGCTGACATTAGGATAATTATCAAATATTAAACGATAACGTTGCTGATCGCAGCGCAATGTGACCAATATGGCGATAATAAAAATCGCTTTAAACTAATTTTTGCAGCTTTAATCTATATAAAATATCTGTTACAATAATTTGCTCTATAACGTAAAATAAAGAGCTGCTTGGTATCTTAAGTTATACAACAAATTTAAACATTTTTGCCAAAATTTTATTTAGTCAAGTTTATAAGCTTTAGTGTCAATTTCGATGATTCATGACGTGCATCGGAAAATGCGATTTGCGATTTAAAAATATACGGGGTGTTCCTTAATGACATGCTAAAATTTAAGGGCGTGATTCTTGGGCTAGTTTTTCTAATATCTTTATGAAACTTAATACACGTCTTCTATGCAACAAAATACCTTTTTTGGTGTACAAAGAATTTTATTTATTTCAACCAGTGCCGTCCATACGGGTTTTACATTGAATATTTTTGGAGAAAAAAGTGGTACACCACTGACATCTCTTAAAATACAAATTATTTTCAAAATCTGCATTCATTTCTAAACATTTTTTTTCTCTTGATTTTTTTCGTCCGACGCATGGTTTTTGCTTAAAAAAATTACAGTCAGTTTATTTCGGGGTAAAATGTTAAAAATATGATGTGGTGACTGTTGTTTGGCAATCATTTCTGCATCGGCTAGAAGGAAATTAAGAAATAAAACATTTTTTTTGTATATTAACATAAGTATTTTGATGCATGGGAGACGTGTATCAAACGTACCAACAAAAATATTTTGAAAAAAATAGAAAATTTTACAACCCTCTATCTGAAAAGTTAAGATGTTTAGGACATATATTAGCATGTCATTAAGGAACACCTTGTATACTGTCTTATACATATTTCAATTAATTATAGATGTACCCAAAGAAGACGCCCTTGTTGAGGACGAGGATGACGATGACGTTATATTAAACGAAGTGGCCCCTATTAAGATTGTCGTTGACGACGACGACGATGACGATGTCGCAACTGCCAATAAAGAAGCTTTCAGTCAGCCGGTTCGAACGAAAAAAGAAAAACACGTGGACGATGACGGGTTCGTTGATGTCGGCGAAGGATTCGTCAGTTTGAACAAAGTCGGGCAAATCAAAATCAAAAGCGAACCTATGGACGAAGGTAAGTTCACTTCTTTGTCCTAATTATTTTATTAAACTCTTGAGCTTCATTCAGAACCTCAAAATTAGTGGAATAAATTAGTAGTTTCAATTAGCGTAGAAGTTTGTTCCTCTAATATCAATGTAAGCATTCACAACGTCAAAATTAGTGGTAGAAATCTTCAATTAGTGGAAAAATGTATCAAACTGTTAACTTTTTCACTAATTATACTTCAAAATTTGCGAAGAATGTCATTTTGGCTTTTGATTGTCATCTGTCAAGAGAAATTCTACTTAGAAATCAAAAGTTTATTCGTTTTATAAGGTAAATATTAGGCTTTCTCTATGGATACAACCAAAGACATTATAAATATAGACCGAACATCTCATTCATAAATACTCGTTGGTAGTGTATCAAACATTCCAATGTGTCAAACAAGGACAGAAGAGACAGAGAAGTCTAAAATTTCCGACCCCGGCAACTAGGCGCATTTGGATTGTTCTAATGGCCAGTGGCGTATCGTTTTTTGGAACGAATTTAATTAGTAAAGTAAAAGTAAAGTAATTAGTAAAATGTTTACTCCATATTAATATACTACATTAACACTTTTTCGTCAGATGAGTTTTGTTATAAGGTCTAATATAATAATATAATTAATATCCCACATATACTTATGTTGAAACGTTAGTAGGTAGTTTTCGAAAATCGCTCCAACGTCGATTTTCAATTTAAACTTTCAGTTAATTCTATATAAAGTTTCAGTTACTTTTGAATATTTACAGGGTGACTCAGGCTTCGAAACAGTTCAATATTAGGTTTGCGGTTGGTGACTTTTCTTTCAATTTTTTTATATGGAGGCAATGGTAAAGCACATTTTAGACATTTTTGTAAACATAGGGGGCCGGAACATATTTTCAAACTAAAGTTGTAGATTTGCCATTAAATTTCCATTCCAGAAATACCTAGGGTTGCCACCTGCCCTTTTTGAAAAGGACAGTCCTTTTTTGGAATAACTTGTCCTTTTGACTTTTTTTTACTTAAAAAGTCATTTTTATTTACGTATTTTCCCTGAGAAAATTACCTACAGCAAACAAAAATATTATTTTCGTCCAAATTTAATTAGAGATGTTATAAAACTTATAAATACATTTTTCTTGTTTAGAATAGGCAACATTATTTAGAACTTCCCGTTTAATCTCAAATGATAATTTAGGTTTTAGTTTTACCTTTTTGATCTTAAAAGAACTTTTAAAATTAGTAATTAGTAACGATTTAGTTAGTTCGCAATCGATAGCTTCCTGTAAAGTACTATGTAATAGTTGTTTAATCTTGTATTATTAATAACTTCCTATACCTAAAATCAATATTTAATGAGAAAATTGTGTTTTTTTGAAAATATAAGACAAGATTTGACTTTCGGTCTTCTTCTTGTATTATGATGGCTCTGATACGAGGCAATTACCTTTTAGTCTCTCAATAGAAGGCATTTATCATTAAAAGTATCAAATCTGTGTGCTACAGTATGGGATTTCTGTCGCATAATAATGAATATTACGTTTATTTACAAATCCATTACTTTTAAAGGTAGCTTCATCAGACAATCAAATTTTAATTAAATGTCCCAATCTTCATGAACTGTATTAAGCATATGTATTGCGGTTTGAATCACCCCGAGAATCACCCTGTATGCTGACAAAAATATTTTGAAAATGTGCGTTACAATGGCCCCCATCTTATGTAAAAAATTGAAATAAAAATTACAAACCTAAAACGTAATAGGTAAAAAGCTTTTTTGGAGGCCTGGGTCACTCTGTATATAGGTATGTATAAAACTAGTAGCCTTAGAATTATTTACAGTTCGTCCCATTCTAAAAAAAAGGTAAACACACCGTACAAATAACTCTAGGAAGAGGTATTTGTACGGTGGTAAAAATTGTTTAAACGAGGCCGAAGGGGCAGATATAATAATGCAATAAAATGTAAAAAGGGCGAGTAAACACCTTTGTTTATTTGTTGAGCAAAATTCCTTTAGAATATCGTATATAATGACCAAAATATGACGCAATTTTAAGAAAAAAAATGTCGCTTTCTGGCTTATAATAAAGTTTCAAATGCAACGTTTATATTCAAATTTGTTATGATCTACAATAGTTAAGTAGTAATTGAGACGAATTATAATTCAATTACCGGCTACTACGTTCTTGTTTTAATAGCTCAAAATTCAACAAATTTAATTAGAAATTATTTTAATTGTGAGAGGCTCCCTTGTGGGACGCCTATGTACGGCGATTACGGCGCGGCGGAAACAATACCTACCTGTGAAAAGACAAATTCGGGTAATTTGAGCTTATTTTTCCACACATTTGACACTGTCGTACCATATTGAAAATTCGCAGATTCAAAAGTACGTTAAACAAAAGCAAAAACTACTGAAAACACTGAAAAGTTCACTTCGGACTTGATTCCGACTTCAAACACACCGTAAGCTAAACGTAGTACGCTATAACGGACCAAGGGCCGTCGCGAGGGGTGGTGGGACGGACGGCTCATTTCATTCTGGAAGACTAGCAGCGACGTTGCCAATAGTTCTAGACGTTTCAGCACATTAAACAGTAAACATGTCCTTTAATAGTATGCTTCTTTAAAAATAAAGTATTAATTTAATTAAGAAATTGAGATTTATTGATATCCGGTGAAGGTTTTAAAGTCATCTTTTCTGCAAATCAAACTAAGTAGATAGGCGCAAATTTGAGACGTGGCAATGTCGCCTTCTCTATCTCAGTTGGTTTTTACAGTACATAGTCAACCTCCGATTGTTTGATCGGGTTAAAATGCACAATTTAGACATTGTGAATGATTGTAAACTAAAAAGTATAAAGTGTATTTGAAACCAGTAATTTATTCCACTAATTGCGAGGTTCTGAATGAAGCTTTAATTAAAATTCATATCACCCTGTATATTGAATCAGCATTACTTTTTTGCTATGTAGGAGATATAGGATCCTATATATATATTACTTTTTTTTCAAAAGTCGTGAAAGCACTATTTGCAATATTTATTTATTTAAATGGTTTAAAAAAATATGAGTGACTCAAATAATAAAGTAATTTTCGACAAAAAATATTTTATACTTGTTCAGGCCGCAACTAGACACTAAGATCCAACCGAATCTGGATTTTTAGTATGGGCCGAGAACGAGGCCGAGACACAATGTAATATTTATTCAATAGTTTATTATATGAAAAAGCATCTTATAATAATGTAATAAAAACGTTATTTTCATGCAGAAACGGTTTTATTGGGATTTAATATTATGAAATTACAAAATTACTATCTTCGTAAATGTTATAGGCTAAAAAAGTAATTTTTCAGCATTGCATCCTTCCAAATTATGCAGCGTTTCATCATATTCTTTCTAGATAGTTGTTAATGCATAAGCTGCTGGTTTCATTCTGTTAAATTTATAACTTACATTAATAAGACACTAACATCTAATATTTCGATTATTGTACATAGAAATACGAAGGCGATTCTTCAGCCGTCCGGGAAATCCCCTTCGTGATTCAATCAGATCATATATGGATCAGATATGATCGGATCAATTTCGGACGAGTATTTCATTCATCCACGCATCAATAGGTGGAGCTATACGCTCAAAAATAAGCTAATTTGACGATCGTGAGCAGCCTCGGCCATGACCGATAATCTCTGACTATTAGGGGGGCTCAGCTCCCTTAAAAGATAATATTGATTTGAGGTTAAAACCAATTTTAAACGACCTGCACCAATCATCAGTGGGGGTAAATTTTGAAGCTGGGGGGCTGAGTAATACCTAGCCCCCTCTAGTTGCGCCACTGTACTTGTTTTATGTCAGTGAGACTATTGTTGAATGCTACCATAAATTACATATTTATTGGCAATTGTTTTGAAGGATTTTTTTTATTTCTTTTAACTTTTTTATTTCAAAAAATATAGGGGTGAGGGGTAAGTAAAGAAAAATGAAAAAGTATAGATCATACCAAATAAACTTTTAGTCACGTGATTAAGCTTAACTGGCACGGCGTTGCCCACTTTTACATATTTTCTTTTAATCAAAATATTTTAGGAAACAAAAATAAATTAATTATAAATATATAAACAGTTATTATTTACATCAACAAAACTCACCTCCTTAACAGCACTTAAGGGACATACATAAAGGGCCATTACTACCGCTTTCCCGTTCAAAGTATTCTAATAAGATTGTGATGAGATTTTTGCAACTTGCTTTAAGCTATCTTGTATACTTCGCACTAAAAGTGGTTGTTAAAAGAACAACATCGACTAGTAAAAAAATTTAAGCTTAAAGTATCACGACACAATTTAAAGCAAAAACTCGTATTACAATGCTAAAGTGTCAAAACGAACGACAACGTCAGGAAATAAATATATGTGGCAACTTGACATTTTTTACAGCAAAGCTACAACCTGAGTTCCTGGCGCCCTCAATTACGTAACTAAAAGTTTAATTGGTATCGCTTATAGTAAGAGAAATGAAATGTAAATTAAAAAATTAAAAACATACAAGACCGCAAAAGTCTTACATGATGACTTTGGTCTTGCCTCAGTCTTGCACAGTCGGTATTGGTCTTGCACAAAAAGCAAGACCAAGTCTCGCTTATTACTAAAGCTTGATTTTCATGCATCCGTTATACGTTGATACGATGGTCCGGCGACGGTGCTCTGATTGGTCATAGCGTTTTCGCGTCACTTTTCATCCGTAAATATTTTACTTCAACCCGTCAATGCACCCCTTCATACGATAACGGACGTTTTGACAAATTTAACCTAACCTTAATAAAAATATAAGTAAAATAGCAAAATCGTTATGGTAACGAAAAAATAAAATTACACCAACGTATATCCGATAAACGCAGCATGAAAATGCAATAAATTTAAAAACTGCGTTATTTTCTAACCAATCAAAGTCTTTAAATTCTACCAATAAAATTAATATCGTATCAACGTATCGTCGGACAACGGATGCATGAAAATCAAGCTTAAAACGTAAATGTCAAAATAACGTCTGCACTAATAATGGAATTGTGGCTGTATTGACCAGATCTTCCTAATCACTTATATATATTTTTAACAATTTTTAGATGATATTCAGACAACACCGTTAGACTCCAGCGACATCACGAACACCTCCAACCTTACCGCCGATAAAGAGTCATCTGAACCCGAACCGGCAACACCGATCCAGGCCGAACCGGTGACGTCACACCCCCAAATGATCTCGTCGATGGACGGCAACGTGGAACTGTCCAGCGCGCCTTTGGTCACGCCCACCACCATCGCTAGCGGCGCCAGGATCAAAATAAACATTTCAAAATCTCTGCCTGTGATAACTCCTAAAGAGTCTAGTGAGCCTAGTGTTAATAGTGAACTCGAATCGAACGTTGCCAAGAGCGACGCCGTTGTGGAAGAACCGGAAATTGTGCATTTTAAGCCCTCGTTGAAAGAGGTTAAGTTGAAGAAAATGCCCGCGGTCAAGAAAGGTAACGAATTGACTGGTTTGTGCTCTATAATGTGAAATTATTTATCTTATTTTTTTATGTATGTATGTATGTACAGAGGAATACGAGCGTGTATATAAATAAGTAGGAGAATACATCCTCGGTACCTTTCCTTGTTCCATTTTAATTTTCCATTCTTGGATCTTTATTGTTTTACCATTTTTGATACTTCTTAAGAAATGAACGACAAGCTGTATATTTAAATTATCTGTAAATCTTTGAAAATCGAAGCAATTTTATGAACATTTGTATATAAGAATTATTTATTATGAAAAACTGAACAGTTTTTGAATTGTTTCTTTGTTTTTACAAAGAATTGTTGTGAATTTTGTTGAAATAAAAACTACTTTTTATTAATGCTGTGTTTATTTCATTATGCTACTGGATTACTGTTCTAGGAAAAGTGTATCTTAATCTTGAGGTAATGGTTCTCTATGTATAAACAGAATATATTTTAAATTGAAGTGATTATCACATGTAGATATATTGAAAGGTAGTGAATAAATGCCCTAGTTAAACCATAACGTAGTTTTATTTATTGAGATGAAGAGCTGTGGCGATCTTGTAAGTCGGAAAGAAAAAAATTGTGTGCACTATGTGCGCATATTTGAAGTGAAACTTCTTACTAACAGCTATTAAATAGAAGTAAATTAATTAATTATTAATAAACAATTTGACCGCTATCACAAGATTTGTATTAAAATGACAGTCTGTCCGTCTGAGTACTCCATTTGAGTGCATCTATCCACGTGCCGAGTTTGGTTCCAATCGACCCTTAATTAAGAAAAATCCTGATGATTTCGTCCATTTAGAGACATCAGTTCGAAACGTCGAGGGCGTCATCCTGTAGTCCGTCCCCAATTACGCCGAAATCGACCCACATTTTTCTTCAATATCAAATCCTTAGTCCCACCCTGATCAAGATGTAAACGAAACGTCGTATCCAACTTTACAGTTTAGGACCGTGTGCACCGTTGCTCACATAGGCTACCTTTTTATTCTTAATCTAAGAGCCTACCCAAGTGTCTTGTCTCTGGGAAATAGGACAGAAACAGGAGACAAAGATGGGAGATTCTATCGGAGGATCTCTACTCCAAATGAGATCGGACCAAATGACCCCTCTTTATCACTACTACTAAGTATTAGGATATAAATTAAACACTTAATCAACTTGAAGATATTTATTTAAATTCTTAAACATAAATCACAATTAACGATTCACGTCAGTCCTTTTATGAACACAATTAACACTACCACTTTGCCCTTTTACCCCAGTCCTTTGGAGTCCAATGGAGCGCCTTAGAATCGATTCTAATCGACCTACCCTGTATGGCTTTATAATGCTGCTGCATTATTTCTTTACTCAATGTAATAATGTACTGGCCTTTATAATAATTAATTAAATTTAAGTTCTGCAATGTCGAGATAACGTCTTCTTTCTTAATACTAGTTAATTCACAAATTTCACAGATTCTATCGGAGGATCTCTACTCCAAATGAGATCGGACCAAATGACCCCTCTTTATCACTACCACAAACCATTCGAGGTGAACAAAATGGATCGAGAAATGTGGATAGATATAACATTCCTTCAGGATGGACTAACCTGGTATACAGACGGGTCAAAGAGCGCTGAAGGAACAGGAGCTGGAGTATATGGGGAAAAACCAAGGGCAAGCTTATCCTTTTCCTTGGGGATAAACACTCAACCGTATTCCAGACAGAAATCTTCGCCATTCTACAATGTGTGAGAGAAAACAATAGAAGAGCTTATTCAGGTAAGCTCATCAATATATGCTCAGACAGTCAGGCGGCACTTGGGGCGCTTATGAACCCAAAGGTATCTTCGAGACTCGTCAGGGAATGCCTGGGTGAACTGGGACCTCTGGCACGAAGAAACAGAATTAAATTATTCTGGGTGCCGGGCCACAGCGGCATTCAAGGCAACGAAAAAGCCGTTGAGCTAGCTAGGCAAAGATCATCGGCATCCTATCTTGGTCCAGAGCCAGTACTGGGAATACCCAAATGTATGGCCCGTAGTGCACTAAAACTCTAGATGAGGGAAAAGCACAATGTCCATTGGAGAAACAGACAGAGGCCCAGGCACAGCAAGGCTTTTATCCAAGGACCTAACTCTAAAACCGCAAAAGAACTGCTAATGCTTAGCAGGAATAAAGTGCGGATTACAACAGGCCTCTTGACAGGACACATGACTGTCAAGTGTTACCTGAACAAGCTCAACCTGTATCAAGGAAGTCTTTGCTGCAGACTCTGCGATAAAGATCCTGAAACAGCGGAGCACATAATATGTCATTGCGAGGCTCTGGATTGCAAGCGACACTTTTTATTTGGGAAAGCTAGGCTAGAACCGGAGGAACTATGCTCCCATCCTATCCGGCATAAGCTAGTGCAGGGCACAGGGATAGGAGAATGGATGCAGATATAGAAGGGGGACAAACACAATAGGCCTTACAGGTCGCAGTGTTTCCGGTAGAGGACGGCCCCTTGTTATGAAAAAAAAAGAACCTACCCACCAAATTTGGTCGCGATCAACTGTTGACGTTTCTTACGTCAAAACTGTCACAGTGATACGTGTCGTACACGGTCAAGTTGGCCTCGGTCTAATCTACCGACATTCCAAATTTTATTTAAATCGGGCGATTTTTTCTAAGCCGTAGGCTGTCCTTAACACTTCCTCTTCTGTCCTGTGTTATGTCACGGCCTTGAATTTTTACTCCCAGCGTGCGTAAAGAAGCTTCACTTCAAAAATGCAAAGTATTTATTACATAACCACTTAATCCGACGCTATACAGATTGTTAACTGGACGGTTACTTATTGGGGAACAGAATAGCAACACTGCCTACTCTACTAAGCTAAGTCCGACTCGTCCCATCGCGTCGTCTCTCGACAAGCGGGCCGAGGTTGCCATATTTCAACCTTAAAGCTCTTGCCGCGAGTAATAAACAAATTAACAACCTGTATACATTCCAATGCCAATGAGTTGTGTACAAAATTCAAACAGCTGTCAATTTTAAATTTAGCACAGCTCTCATTGGTTGTTGGGAATGTCAGTGTCGCCAGCGACAGAACGTAGTTCTGAGAACGGTGATTTAAGAAGTTATTTTTTAATAGTTATTTACAGTACAAGTGTGTTTATGAACATGATTACAACGAGTGTGAACGATTAGAACGACGAGGTCGTAGATCGAGTCGTTCTAATCACACGAGTGGTGTAATCATGTTTAAACGCACGTGTCATGTACAACGTTTTATTTACAACCGAAAAATAAGAAAATGCTGTTTTAATTTTCGTTTATTAGTCGCCCACCTTTCACACCTTTAGCTATGACATTTGTCACATTTTTTTCTGAAAAGTCAGTTTGCCCTGTCAAGTAAACGCGAGCACTTTTTGCCCAAAAAAATCATTTTAAAAATTACGATGAGCGATTCCGAAAGTCTCACTTCAGATGTAGAAGCTCCCGTAGTACGTGCCACGGAATCATTATTGCCGGAAAAGTTAATACATTTAGATGTTCGTAGTTTTTCATTATTATAAAAACTATTTATAGTTGCATTATAGATTCATAACACCACTAGTTGTGTTATGAGTCTCATAACGTAACTGAAATACTAAAAAAATAGTGATGTAAAAACGTTATAACTAAATGGTTGTAGATAAATATAATTTATTCGTTCATTGGATTTGAGTTTATTGAAGTATTAGGATATAAATTAAACACTTAATCAACTTGAAGATATTTATTTAAATTCTTAAACATAAATCACAATTAACGATTCACGTCAGTCCTTTTATGAACACAATTAACACTACCACTTTGCCCTTTTACCCCAGTCCTTTGGAGTCCAATGGAGCGCCTTAGAATCGATTCTAATCGACCTACCCTGTATGGCTTTATAATGCTGCTGCATTATTTCTTTACTCAATGTAATAATGTACTGGCCTTTATAATAATTAATTAAATTTAAGTTCTGCAATGTCGAGATAACGTCTTCTTTCTTAATACTAGTTAATTCACAAATTTCACTGAAAACAGAAATAAATTAAATTAATCGAATTATTTAAAAAAACGTGTTGATAATTTGACTAACTTGATTGTAATTTGAGGTTTTTCATTTTCTCCTATAGGTTTTATTGAGAGTAGAATTTCTAATATTGTTTGAGCCCAATAACTTCTGTAGGAGAGAAGTCCTAAATCTGACAGAGGTTTTTCTGGAGATCCAGTTTTTCCTTCAAATTTAGAAAGTTCATAACCTAAAAATTTAATCGTAGATTTTATTTTAGTAGCTTTAATTTAAAAGTAAAGACTGTACAGCCATCGTTCACCGTTACGTCATCACTATTTGTCAAATATGTGTTTTAGGGTGTGTCTGAGATCAGTTCATATTGTTTAGAAAATTTTAAGTACGTTCCTATATTTAGTATCCTCCATTCACGCAGTTGTGCAGCTCTGAACTATTATATTCAAGAACGCGATACTCTAACTCCATTCAATTGAGTCATAAAGTTCCAGAACTGTTCCGCGTCATATGGAGGCACCAGGCTATCGCGGCACAGCTCGTTCAGAACCGTTCTCGAGTAGCCCAGGGGCGTAAAGCTCAGAACTTGAAGTTCGCGAATGGAGGACAGCAATTATTGATTGAGCGAGTTCCGTTTTTTTCGCCATTTATTCATTTTTTCTTGAATTCTTCGTCAGCTACGATACTTTTAATTCCAATCCTTTGGACTATTGAAATTCCTATTTCTAAAGCCATCAGTAACTGGCTATATTATTAACGCTATTAATTTGTATTTTACATAGGAATATTACACTTTTGCATTGTACTTACTTCATATACGGCGTCCACGGGCAAGAGTGTTCTATCAGCGTCTCTTTCCCGAGAAAAATAATTTATGAGCTTAGCAACGACCTCTTCTTTATTTTGGTTAAGCCTTTGAGGCACTTTTGCAATAAAAAAATTTGAATTTTGTTTTACAGCAACAACCAAATTTTAACTTTGACATTGATCGATGTCCGTCAATAAAATTATAACCCCAAATCAAATGACAATGACAATTACTAAAAGGAAATTTTGATATTGATCGATATCCGTCAATAAAATTATAATCCCAAATCAAATGACAATGACAATTACTAAAAACAATATGCAGTAATTTACGAAATGGCGTAATGACGCCACCGCTCTTTCATATGGTTGGCGAGTGATGAGAGAGTTCGACAATATATGACGTGACGTTGAACCATATTTAAACATTCTATACTTACTAAATTCAATAAGCAACTTTCCATAGCCTTTTCTCTGATAAGGAGGCAGAGTTAAAATACATGCAACATTATAATCCTGAGTCGATTCTTTTTCTTTTGAGAAATATCCAACTATATGAAACCCCCTGTGATCAAATACAGTCATGATGTAAAACAGAAATGGATCTGTGTCGTAGTACAGAGTTTTGTGGTCGAGAAATAACTTGGCTAACAAGCATAAATTTTGAGCATATACTTTGTTCTTTCGACCATCGATTTCGAAAAACGATACGTTATCTTTTCTATAAATTTCATTTCCAGGTGGATGTCTCAGATTGCACTTTGCCAAATGTCTCTCTAAGCACTTTCTACTTTTTCTATATTTTAAACAAAATTCACAAATATATATACATGGCAATTTAATCATTTCCTAAAAATATACGTATTGTAATGGTCGTTATTAAGAACAGTCTATACATAATCAGAACGTTTTACCTGTCAGTCTTATCTGTTCAGTCAAAACGTTCAAGAAAAATATTGTGTGTAGACAAAAAAAACTGGTTTTGTCTAGAAGACTACTAAAAAACAATCATTGCCTACACTGAAGAAAATTTAAATTTTAATATAGAGTTTTAATCAGTGTCGATATGACATTACAACAATAGTCACAAAAGCCACCTTGTGATATTGAAAAATAGCATCATAAAGTAATGAGAGTTGAAAAAATTGCAAATTGTTGGTGGCAAGTTCATTTCCCTCTTAAAAATTAACTAAAGCCTGTGTTGACATGAGTCAAAAAACAAAATGCTCAGGAAGGAGACTTATTGTTGGACTTCCTCCTATTTTGTTTTATAATTATGTTGTGTTTATATTTGTATTGTATTGCTTATATTTGTTGTTTCTTATTTTTATATTTGTTCTGTTTTTATTTTATTTTATATTTATCATATTTTGTATACGATAATTCCAATACATCTAACAATGTCAAATGGAAATGAATGAATAAATAAATGATAAAACCACATGTAAAACTTCTAGTATATAATGGAAAATAAATTTCTTGGAGTTTTAATTTCTATATTAGCAGTTCAAGGCAAGAAACTCTTATATAATTTTATTACTTCTAGTATATAATTATCTGACAGGTAAAACGTTAAAAAAAAGCCATTTATTATATGAAGAGACAACTTACAGGTGGATAAGGTGCAAAATACCAAGGTCGAATTCTATGAGGCCCCAATTCTATCATTTCTATATTCTTCATCCTAGTTACTATATCGTCATGGTGAGACACCATGCTTCCCGACTGTCTTGGTCCCCCTGGTGTGGGTTGATTTGGTGGGCCATCTTGTGAATCTTCGCCTTCGATCGAAGGTCCTTTTCTTTTTCTACAAAAAAATATCCAATACAGTAATTATCACAGTCACCATAGAGAAAAACTAAGCACCTATTAATTTTCTTTTGCAATGCTGCAGCTAAAACAGCGTTGCCATTTAATAACTCTGTACTTGGTGTCACTGGACTTGGCGGTCTTGAAACTGGCCCACTAATATTACTTATGCCACTTCCTATTTGTGCCTTTTTCGGTGTAGATACTCCTGTACCAGTGGTTGCATCTTTTCTAGGAAAATGCACCTTACGTGTATCGAGAGAATCTTCAGTAACCCATTCATCCAGTCTTTTATTAACTAGAAATGATAAAATTAAGATAAACGATTGAATAAAAGACGAAATAACAGTACTTACAGTCTACATAATGGACATAGTAATATTTGGCATCGTCAATTTCTTTTATGCTCACAATTTCAGCTAGCGCTACAAAAAAATGTTCGAATAAAGGATTTTAAAAAATATGATGGTGCGACTCACGCCAATCTGAGGTGCCTTTCATGTGAACCGGTAGACGACAACCCTCAATTAAGGAGGACTAAAAATATATATCTTTTAATCAGACCTGGCTAACTCCAAATTAGAATTATTTTTCTTATTCCGAAGATACTTACAACAGAATCACATAATGTACTATCGTCAACATCTTCCATTTCAATTTTCATTTATAATTTAATAAATTTATAAACTTAATAGCGGTTACTAATAAAAATAAACTGTTTTATTCTATTCACAAAAACATTTAGAAAATAATCGGAAAGTACAAACATCAAACATCTGTTGTTGACATATATAGTGACATAACTGACATATGACAACACATTAATGACAGCTCTGGTTCTAATAAGTTTGTCGAATACTAAAATTCGGACGAACGAAATTTTATGGCGACATCTAAAGACCGGTAGTATAAAATAATGGGTAATGTATACAGAGAATTAACAAAAAAAACATGACGAGAAAAGAAGGAGAGGAAATTAACCATTTCTCCCTTTATTTTTTATGTCATCTTTATTGTCATTTGTCTCCTAACGTCCCAAACTTTTTTTGTCCAAAATGAGATGTATTGAATTAAAAAAGGCCTCACGCGGTGTTTTTGATTATCATTCTTTTTAAATGAGGGTGTAGTGTTTTTAAATAGTGTATGGGTGAATAAAGGTAAGTCACCAAATAAGGAAGTATTTTCAGTGATTAAAATCGAGGCCGAAAATACGCAAAAAGTTGAAAATTGTAAACAACCAATGCAAGTGTTGATGAATTCTTTTAGCTCGACATAGATACAGTTTTTTATTTTCTGTTTTATCAAAATGCGGTGGATAGCTCATATCGAAGGGTGCCCTAAACGTGTTAATCATGCAGCTGTTGCAGTCAATCACAAGATATATTCTTTTGGTGGTAAGGATTATTTTTGTCTTCTTACTTAATATCTATATTTGTAATATTTCATTGAAATACCTTCACTTAAAGGCTATTCAACTGGGGAGGATTGCAGAGGATACACCTCAATGGATGTGCATGTTTTAAACACTCACACAAATAGATGGGTAAAGCATCCTGTTAGTGATCTTCCTTATTTTGAAAACGATGATATTTTGCCATATCGAAGGTAGGGTTTTGTAAATAAACTAGCAGTAATCTATTTTTTTGTTGAATTGTTTTTAGGTATGGGCATACAGCTGTTGTTTATAAAGATAACATTTACGTATGGGGAGGAAGGAATGACCGCTCATCCTGCTCTGTTCTCTTTAAATTTGATACATTTTGGCATTGCTGGATGGCCCCACCAACAACAGGATCGGTACCGTTAGCCAGAGACGGTCATACAGCCTGTGTTTGGAAAAATTACATGTTTATTATTGGAGGTTACGAAGAAGAAACAGATCTTTTTGCAAAGCAAGTTTTTTACTTAGATTTAGATAGTTTACATTGGAGTTACATTGTGTGTGGAGGTAGGATTTATCAGTAGATAAATTTTAAACAGTTTGAAATATAATGTAAGATTTTTATAGGTTATGAACCAACCCTTCGAGATTTCCACACTACAGTTTGTATAGATGATAAAATTTATCTATTTGGTGGCAGAGGCGCAATGTTAACAACAAATTTTCAAGGGATTCAAGCACCATTGGAAACCTATTGCAATAATGTGTGGTATTTGGATATGAAAACCTTAAATTGGCACTGCTGTAAAGCCACTGGGGACATTCCTGTAGGTAGAAGAAGTAATTCAGCTTGTAAGTTTTATTTTTACGTATTTTTTTATTGATTTTAAACATTATTTGCTTGATTTTATGTTCAAACGGTTAAACCTTTTTTATTTAAGCAAATGTTACACAAAATACAGTATATATTGCTAAGATAATATATTACCTCCATACATAATTTACATCAATCATCTTATGCAAATGGAGAAAAAGATGTTATTTAATATGTACATTAGGTAACAGCTATTATAACCAGTTAAGAACAAGGTGAAAGTGATCTTAAATGAAAATGAAAGTAGTTTGTACCAGGAAACATTAGGTGTGAGTTGGATTTTTAATGCATCATTGAGTCTACTAGTAATAATAACAGACTTTATTTTAAAAAATACAGTATTTAATTTTTGAAAGTAGGTTTCAAAGCTATTTTTTTATTTAAGTTTAACATAATGAGATCCAAGAAAGTTACAAAATTATTTGTGTTAGTTTTATAGCTCCAGAAATGATTTGGTTAGAGTTTATTTCTTTCCAATAAATTCTACTTTAAATAATTTGTATTGTTAATGCCTTTTTAAAGTACTGGGCATTTGCAATGGTTTAAAACAAAACAGTAGATTTTAATAACTTATTTATGGCAGTAAAGAACAATTACTTAATAGTATTTTTTATTAGATTTATTACATAAACAAAGTTAATTTTAATTATTTTACTTTCTCAAAATTATTTACTATGAGAGCATGCCATTTAAACAGTTCATATTTATATTTAAAATAGTCAAAATTTATAAATTTATTTACCTAACTAAATAATGATGTGATTAAATTTGTTAGATTAAATTTTGCATCTAATACCCCCAATATATACAGGATGTTCCATTTCACTAAAACAAGTTATTGTGGTTTAAAGCTAGTAGTAAAATAAGTATATATAAACTATTTTGGGTAAATTAAAGTAAACTGTTATAAATCTAAATAATAATGTCCACAAACTAATGCCGATTTTGAAATTACCTAGTTACTAACAGTCATTAGAAAATGTCATGGCGACACCAGCCATCTTGATTGCCGTTTTATTGAAAAATCGCTTTTTATTCTAAATCTGAGCTAGATAGGTATAGAAAACCCTAATATAGTTTGAAATAGCTTTTGAATCTGCTTCGATTTATTTAAAAAAATATAAGGCGTTGTATTTGAAATAACGAAGTTTTTATGTAAAATAAATATTTAAAATAGATCAGCAATTTTGATACCCCTGTATAAATTTAAGGAAGCAATAAAAAATGTCAGTAAAGTGTATTTCTCTACCTTTAAACTCAGCATAAGAATTAATTCTGAAAAGTAATGTACAGGATGTTGATAATCTATTCTATTGTAGCATATTTAAATTAAATATCTCAAAAACCAATGATTTTAAACATATTTAACCCTTATAATAAATGCCTTTTTTGGGTTCAAGAATCCAAAAATGAAATAAAATACCGGGTGTTCCATAAGAAAAAATATAACCTTGGTATGGATCTTAGTTCTGAAACACCCTGTATATTTCAAAATAATTTTAAATTGCGCACATTGCGTCCACACATACATATATGCATAAAATATTTTGTTTCTACATCTTTCCTTTTTGGTATAATCAACCGAGGCGATTGAGGTGCGCCACCCTGTATAATAAAATGTTAAATTATTGTATAATAATAAAATTTTCTAAAACTATTCTAATTTTTTTGTATTTGTTAATCTATCATTGAATCAACCTTGTATAAGGCAAAAGTGTAACAAGGTTCTTTTTGAATTTGTTGCAGTCGTGCACAACAACAAAATGTACATTTTCGGCGGGTTCAATTCGGTGAAAGCGAAGCACTACAACGATCTGTACATGTTCGATCCGGAGACTTGCGTCTGGACCAGACTGAGCCCTAAAGGGAAGAGTCCATGCGAGAGGAGAAGACAGGCCTGTGCCAAAGTTGGCGATAAGATTTTCATTTTTGGTGGAACCAGGTAAATAGTTTTTTATTTATACAGGGTAGTCCGAACTGTATTCCGGAAACTTGGGCAGCATATTCTGCATATAAAAATAAGTAAAAAAGTTCGTATAAATGTATGTCCTAAAATGCTTAGTTTCGGAGATATAGGGTGTAGAAGTTTTATTTTTATTTCGATTTTTTCCAAATAATTTCTGAAGTAACGTCAATATTTTGATGAAAATTTGTTTCTGGAGTTTTTGTCATGAGAAATATGATTTTGATGTCAATATGACTCCTATCTGTAGGGGCGCGACCTCAATGTGTTTTAACTGTTTTGAAGAGTAATTACTTTTCTCTCTCGTCCGTACCTGTATGAAACTACTGAGTGAAAAAATATATATGTATTTCTATAACTTTTTCTTGATAAAAGTCGCTACGAGCAACCGTTCTCAAGATATTTAGAATGGAAGTAGTCAGTACATGTCATTATTCACAAAAAATAAACACGTTGAGTAGATAGTTATTTGATTGAAATAAAATAAATTTGGGAAATTTTTATTTTTTTAAATTAATCATAAATTTTTCTGCGAAAAAATGATGATAAAAGAGTTCCTGTTGAACTTTTGGCACAAGAACATTTCAAATTTATGATTTCAATCTAACTATTTAGTCAACATGATGACAGGTATTGATAATTTCGATTCCAGATATCTCGAGAAACATTACTCGTAGTGATTTTTACAAAGAGACCTTTTATACGTTAAAAATGTCATAAAGGTATATTTTTTAACCCAGTAGTTTTATACAGGTAGGGACGAAAAGTTACTAAACTTCTAACCAGTTAAAAAATATGTAGGTGGCCCTCACAAGTAGGAGTCATATTTACCTCAAAATCGAATTCCTCATGTCAAAAAACTTCCAGACACCAATTTTCATCCAAATATATACGTTATTTTATAAATTGTTCGGAAAAAATCGAAATAAAAATGAAACTTCCACACCCTGTATCTCCGAAACTAAGCATTTTAGGATATACATTTATACGAACTTTTTTACTTATTTTTATCTGCAGCATATGCTGCCGAAGTTACCGAAATACAGTTCAGACAGTTAATAATCACCCTGTATACAGGGGTATACAGGGTGATTATTAACCTATACACATAAAGTTGGGAAATTATTGCTGATGACAAAAATAATGACTAATAATTAAAAAAAGTTAGTAAAATATTTTTATTTACGGAGATTACAAACTATTTGAAATAAAAACAAATAACGTAAATTTCATTAAATTGAATGTGCATTTACTGATAAAGTTGATACATTTTTGTGAAAAAAAAACTCAAATTATTTCAGAATCTAAAAATATTTTACATTTTTTTTTCATTATTGGTCATTATTATTTGTCATCACCAATAATTTTCCAAGTTTATGCGAATAGGTTAAGAATCACCCTGTATTATTTTGGTGAAATATATTTTGTTTTATAACGTCTGTAAACAATTAAATCATCAGAGAATTATGTAAACTTAGAGGAACTGAAACAGTTATGTATACTCTACCGAGTTACATAGATTTGACTGCATAGCTACGACTGCATAGCTTTTAATCTCATAATATTGAGAATATTTTGTTGAAGGTACCATTTTTATATTAAGATTTCTCTCCATATTGAGAGAGACCTCTCAAATGTCTTTATATTTTATATTTTATTGGACCTATACCGGGTGCGTTTCAAAAGTGGCTCACCTCTATAACTTTTTTATTTGTTCAGTTAAAAAAACGATTGTTTTCGGTCACTTCCTTTTGATTTTTAAATGGCACTCTAGATATTTTTTTACTATATTCGATAGAAAATAACACTCTGAATAGAATGACATATCCTATGTCAACTTTTGACATTTTCGCATATGGTTTATTTGAAATTATAACTTGCGATTCGTAACGAAAATTTGATTCATAATACGAAGTGTGTGGTATCAATTCGTAAAAAAATGCTTTTTCCAAACATGCTAATGAGCCACCCTCGTTCCATTTGAAAAAATTGAGATATGATAGACGATCAAATCTATTTTTCCAAGGCCCCTTGATTAAGAATTAGTGTTTTTACCATAGCTATGACACTCTAGATTGAAATTTAAAATACTATTTTTTATTAAGCGAGAATGTCAAAAGTTGACATATGATATGTCATTCTATTCAGAATATCATTTTCTATCGAATGGAGTAAAAAAATATCGAGGGTACCATTTAAAAATTAAAGTTGTAGTCATTTCCGGTGAAACAGGAAGTGGCCAAAAACAATTGAATACGTCAATCAATCCTAATTTAAGTTATATACTAACATACCTAATCTCGTTTTTTTATGAAAAAATAAAAAAGTTCTAGAGTTGAGCCACTTTTGAGACGCACCCGGTATTGAAATATTCCGTTCCAAGACTGACTATTTCTACAGAATAGCATGTACACTATGCGATGTCGTTTGCACGAATCTTGCCCAAGACAAGAGATTAAAATCTATGGAAAAGTACCAAGAAATGTTGTTTTCATCTTTTGTAACTCCGCGATTGTGCGTTTCGCTTTCATAAATACTTTGATTTATACCGTATTTATCAAGTCAATAAAAACATTTAATTCAATTAATTATCTGGCCTTAATTAAAATTGTCGTATACAAAAAATTGTTTTCTATAAAAACAATTAAATATTATGTCATTTACCAATACTATTGGTAAATAGGTTTGTCAAACTAATACTATATTTTTTAATGTTTATTTTATTTGTTTTGTTTTAAGTGCAAATACTTTGTTTACATGATAATACACATATTTTATTACATGATTATTTTATAAAATTAAATGACGTTATAATCCTTATCTAGATTAATAACTATGAAAAAATGAATGGCTTCATTTAATCATTTCTTTTGTTACCTACATTATAATAATTGTTTTATTTATATTCGTCATACATTGATGAATACGTTATTTTTGAGCGAAAAAATTAGTTAAAACAACTTTTTAAACAATCTTTATCACAGTCTTTATTCTTTATGGTAGGTTTAGTTATCAAGTCTGTGGGGAATATACTGGGTAGGCCAAGTTTTAGTAGTAGGACTAGAAAAGTATAAGCTATATCAATTAAACTTTTAGTTACGTAATCGAGGGCGTGATTTTTGAAATTCATGTTGCTATCCATCGACATATTCGGCGCCGGACTGACTGAAATTTAAATTATCCGCTGGGGATTCAGGTGGTAGCTCTGCTGTAAATCAACATTCCATTTGAAAAAATTGAGATATGATTAAAAATGCGATTTGAGCATTTTCTAACTGGCCAGGACAGGGCTCTAAAAACATTAGAAAATCCAATCTATTTTTCCCAGGCTCCTTGATTAAGAATTAGTGTTTTTAACATAGATTGAACTAACACTCTAGATTGAAATTTAAAATACAATTTTTTATTAAGCGAGAATGTCAAAAGTTGACATATGATATGTCATTCTATTCAGAATGTAATTTTCTATCGAATAAAGTAAAAAAATGCCGAGGGTGCCATTTAAAAATCAAAAATTGTAGTCATATCCGGTGAAACCGGAAGTGACCAAAAACAGTTGAATACGTCAATCAATCCTGATTTATGTCACACACACTAACGTATCAAGTCTTGTTATTTTATCTGAAAAAATAAAAAAGTTATAGGGGGTGAGCCACTTTTGAGACGCACCCGGTATAGTTTGTTGGTATTTTTTTACTAATTTTAGTTAAAAAAAAGTTGTTTTACATCAAGAATACATATTTTACATTAACACCAACTGACAATTTTGTGGTCAATTCTGTATTTTTTTTACTTTTTAATTTTAGTCCTCACATTAGCAGGGGGGATGGAGAAGATCTAGGAGAGGCAGGTTTGGACGGATTGGTTGATCATAGCGATATGTTTATTTTAGATTTGAATCCTTCTTTAAAGACATTGTGTATGATGGCCGTGAGGGAACATAACCTGGACGATTCGCAGTTACCACAGAGCTTAAGGTAATATTTGTTGCGTCAAATACAACCCTGGTTTATACAAAATAATTATTAAAAATAATCACAAACAATTAGTCCTGTTAACCAAGATTTACTTAACTACTGGTATGCTGCATGTCTGAATAAAAACTAACACTGTTACAAGTGTATTTGTACGTTACATTTTAGTAACATACTTTAAATAAAAAGATCAAGGAAGGAGGAATATAATGCTATCGATGTATTCATGCGTGGTAGACGGCCCTAGGGTGGGGATCATTCAGTCCTGTTTGACGATTCATTTGTCACATTTTAATTTGATTTCAAATTTTGTGAATTTGTCAGTCTTTACTGAGCTTATTTTGTATTATCTATTATTTATTCTACTACTGATAGTTGTTTAATGGTAGTAAATCTACAAGGAAATGTTGTGGCAGACCTTAAATTAACAGTGACACTATTGCATAGATAAAGGAAATAAATTTAGATTGGAAAGCCCGTCAAAATAGATAATTATTTTGGGTCGCGACCGTTGTACGCGATTTGGCGCTGCTATAGCGGTTGCTAACAACAACCGCAAACAAAAACAGAAATATATTTTTTTTAAAGCTGTGCTGTGAACTGTGAACTGCAAAAACCATCGTGGATCGTGGCATAACGTCGGTTTCCAATGTTTCATAGGTATTTCATACATATCCTTAAATAAAATAAAGTTTCTTGTATGCAACGCACTGTATTTTATTTATAAAATTAAAAGAAAATAATAATAAATTTAAATAAATAATATTTGGCGACATAATTCCGGAAAAAGCCGAACTGCTCGAAAATTATCAAAAACTTTGGGTCGCGACCGTTGCAAGATTAGTGCCAATAATGCTTTCCAATCTAAACTTGTTTCATTTATCTATGCACTATTGCGATTTATGAAAAAAGACTGTACAATAGTTGGTTGTTTAGCGTGCGGTAGATTACGGTCAAAAATTGAGGGAAATAATGGAATAACTTTTTGCTAGTAGGTAAGTGACTATATAATATACATACGTGTAGTAAACTGATCATTTATGAAATTCACTTAAAATTAACTAATCATACATTTTTTCTTGCATTTTTGCTTTTATTTACTACTTGTCAAAGAATTTAGAAACGTGAGTTTGACTTACGTGCTTCATGCCCACTTGCACCGTTTGTATAAACTTTGTTTAAAGGCTAAACAGTGATTAACTATACATATTTTATTATAGTTAATCACTGTTTAGCCTTTAAACAAAGTTTATACAAACGGTGCAAGTGGGCATCAGTAGCGTATCGGATGTTTGTGTTAATAATTAATTATTATAACTTATCTATTTTTATTAGAATTATATATTTTTATAACAATTTTAATAATAACCAACATTTATTGACAACGTAAAATAAAACAACAAATTGTTTAGTCTACCCTACATCATATTTTTACACATTTTGAATAAAATTAGAACGGCACTGATAAACCGGAATTTAAGTCGGCCATTTTACGAGCCCGTCGCGTTCGATCTAAGATTTTTGATATGCTCCTTCCTTAATCTTTTTATTCAAAGGTAACATATGGTAATCGCAAAACAATTTCCGATGCACGTGATCAACTTTGAGCGATGGCAAGCTTGACAAGCGAGGGCGACAGCGCTGCCAGATTGTGATGGATTTATAAGATGAATCTTAATTTATGTGCCCGGTGGCGTAGAGGTACAGGCTCTCGTCTACCAATCTCAAGGTAGTGTGTTCGATTCCCATACCCGGCATTGCATCAGCCGACTATTTTTATTAAAATAAAAATAGTTTGGGTACCTAGGTCGACTCAGCCTTAAATGAGTACTTGGGATTTACAATCCTGAGGTAATAATAGGCGGTTGAAGCGTAGTGCTAGCCACATTACCTTCCTTGTATACCGAACGGCTCTAGTATGGCAAGCTGTACCTTGCTACACCCAAGGCGTTAAACGCTATATACGGGAGCTATTATTATTATTATATATCTTAATTTAAAAGTGACAAACAATATATTTATTATATCATTTTTAAAGATTTTTACGTTTTATTTTTAATTTAATAACTATTCTATTTTAATAATTAACGGATTTATTTGCTTTATAGCTTATTTTCCTTATTACTTATTGGCAAAAACTAGTCCATTATGAAGATTATTCTAAGCGTTATTATGGGATATTTATTTATTTATTGATGTACATCTGATAACGCCATAAGTGGTAATAACAAGTAAGAGGGTGCTATTAATGCACAAACTAATAATCACAGAATTTAATAAAAACTAACGTAAAAATAACTTTGAAAGTGGTGTAATGTGCTTATCAATCAAACCTACTTCTCTGACTGCGGTCAAGGGTAATAAAGGACCTTTATTGTCACGTTCTCATTCAAAATAGTTTCATGGAAGCTGAAAGTTCTTTGCTTCGACTGTTTAAATGCTACGGCATATTTTCAACACACAAATTCCAAGAAACGCAATACAAAAACTCGAAAATTTAGTTCTTAAAAGAACTGTTTGTGCTTAAAGTGCATTTTTTAAAAACGACTATGAAAATAGGCAAAAAAGCGAGAATTATTCACAAAGATTCAACAACACGATATTATACCAAATAATGACTGACACTAGGATTATTGTCAAATAATAAAGGACAACATTGATGAACACGGTGCAACGTGCCCAACACAGCGATTAGTTCTTTTAAACGTTCTTATAAAGAACTGTTTGTGCTTAAAAGTACAATTTTTAAAAAAAGACTATGAAAATAGGCAAAAAAACGAGAATTACTCACAAAGATTCAACAACAACACGATATTATACAAAATAATGACTGACATTAGGATAATTGTCAAATAATAAATGACAACCTTGCTGAAAACGACGCAGTGTGACCATCATAGCGATAATAAAATTCGGTTTAAACTAATTTTTGCAGCTTTAATCAAAATAAAATATCTGTTAAACAATCATTTGTTCTATAAAGTGAAATGAAGAGCTGCTCGGTATCTTAAATTATACAACAAATTTAAACATTTTTACCAAAATTTCATTTAGTCAGGTTTATAGACTTTAGTATCAATGTCGATACGATTGATGACTTGCATCGGAAAATGTTTTGCGATTACAATAGAATTCATATAAAGTTTTCATTTTTTACATATTATATAGGCTAGAATTGATGAATATGCATCTACCGAATAAAATTACAATGAGCAGACCAAGCAACTCAGCTGGTTAAGTACAACGCAGAAAAGGAGCCAGTACGCTAAAGAATATATTATAGTCGTTTGCTAGGCGACACTTGGACATTTAGCGAAGAAATACAAAATAACACTTACCCCTAACATGTTCCATTCATTTTTATAAATTAAAATTGACAAAAAACAATACATCTTTGTGTAAAATTATGTATTATGCAGAATAACATTTTCGGAAATTTTTGCCCATTATACGTAGTGTGATACTAAATATAATTAATTAATTAATTAATTTTTAAAATTAATACAGATAATTGCATAGTCAGATTCAAATATACAAATTAGAGTAAATGTACAGGGTGAGTTTTCTACGATGTTCTCTATGGGTATCTCGGAAACTACTGGAGATAGAGAGTCGGTTAAATGGGGAAAGAATTGCCGTTTTGTTAGGTCATAAATATGCCCCTTTCAGATTTTTGAAAAAGGTCATGGCTTAGTAGGTATTTCAAAAAAAAAATTGGCTATTTTAAAAATTATCTCTAATTCCATTATAATCTATTTTAGACAAAAAGTTTTCAGATAAAAGTTGTAGATAATCACATCCTTAATGAGATTGTGTTCTCCGTTTTTTTTTCTAAAGTCTGTCATTTTTGACATATGACACAAACATATGTTTTTTTAAATGGAAACCTTAATTGGCCATGACATCATGAAAAGCGCCATTTTTAAGCTTTTCAGCGATATAAGCTACAATATGTTTTTTTCGAAAAATTACTGAGTTATAGCCAATTCTTGTCATTTTAAAACAATTTCACTTAGAACAAAAATTGTAAATATGCATTTTTTAAATGAAGGAAAGCGTGTAGGATTATTGGTTCAACTTTTCTTGGTCATACATTTGAGCAGTGAACGTTACTTACGTTTTTTAAAGAACGGTTTTCAAGACATTTTAAAAAACTTAAATTTAGATAGTTGCGCATCAATAGAGTGATTCCAACATGACTTTCATTATGACACCTCTCCCCATAATGAAAGAAATGTTAAAAATTATTTATATCATAATTATGCAAACTCAGGGATTGGAAGAGGTGGACCAATTGCATGAGCCTCCTCGATGAATTAAGAGAGGAACTCGAAGAGAGAGATACAGGAGAACATTTTCTAAAATAAATTAAAGTGTATGGAGTAGTGATATTGTTTTTTTAAGTTTTTAAGTCTATCTCCAGCAGTTTCCGACATACCCATAGAGAACATCGTAGGAAACTCACCCTGTATTATTGTTTTTATCATATCGTCAGTGAAACGTGATAACCTGCTAACTCCATTTTTTACGTTAATACGTTTTTTATACCATTAGAAAGAGAAAAAAATACTCTATAAGTAGGGAAAGCAAATACATTTTTTCCCATTAAAGAAAATTTGCTATTTTAACTCAATAATATTTGCTAACTCCCAGTAATCTAAAATTGTCACCGAAATGCTGCTATCTCCGTAATTTTCGTTACGATCACGCTAAAGCAAACACACGGATTCTTTCTCGTATGTTTCTTTAGTATAGTACGTCGATCCAGGGTCGCACTAGGCCAAAGGGGCCCGGGTGGCAATGTAAAGAGGGGCCCGTGTGGATTTTTTTGCATATTTTTTCGCCTTATGTTTTGGTCAATTTTTCCAAATTATATACAGGGTGAGTCTTAAATAAGTGCAAATATTTTTAGGGGTAGTATATTTCGATCCAAGAAACACGATTATTAGGTTTTATGCGCGAATTTTTTTTTTTGGAAATTTGGACTTTTTTAAAAAAAATGGATTTTTTTTTAATTTTTAGTTTAAAAACATACTTTGTTTGAAATATGGCAACATAGGTAGTAGATTAATTTTACAAGAAAGAAAATCCAATGATTGTCAAAATTATAGCAAAAAATTGGAAATTTTAAAAGTGAAATAACTCGGTTGTTTTGGATTTATTTGAAAAATCGGAAAGAGAAAATATTATGTTTCATTTATCGAGATTTACCAGCCCTGAAAACGTTTGCACTTATGTAAGACTCACCCTCTATAGAAATCAGGGAACTACCCTACTGCAAGGTAAACCAATGCAATGCAAATGCCATAAAGTAATGCAAAAGCAAATATTGTTAATAATAAATAATGAACTATAAAGGGAGCCCGCCAAGGCTGGTGCCCCCCTAATAGTTATATATATAATCGATCGTCGATCCGTTCTGTAAATACGGGGTATCAGTAAAGGGTAAGGGGAAAAACGAAATTCTCTATATACGAGCAATTCATCGGCGTGCTATAAATAGTTTAAATAACATTACTTAGTTGTACAAGAATTTCCATAATACCTAATAAATTTTATTTTTTTTTTCAACGTTTTTCCACGTAAATGATACATAATTTTTATAAAAATTAAAAAAATAAGGAGAAAAGTAATAACAATTTAATAAAATCACGCACTGTTTTTCAAGCTCGGTCTACTACCGTTGGATAAAAATTAGGATAAGCATGGAAGGACTGAGTCTACAATATCTTCTAAGAATTATAAGTTTAATTTTTAAATTATTTTCATATTCATTAAGTCCAAAATGCTGCGACTTCAGTTCTTTAAAAATGCATTAAAAATTTATTCGTTTTTTGACTTGTATGTTTTGCTTCTAGACCGACGATATTCTAAATATATGGTTATGAATATTTTATTTTTTAAATTTAATTCATTATTTCTAAATCTGTTTGGGTAATATTCAATTCCATTTTCAAAATTTCAAACAATAAAGGTTGCTATCTCCAGAAATATATTTTTATTTCTTATTTCTGCAAGACGAATATCTGCTATCTCCATATTGTGTCTGAAAAAAATTATGTAACACGAAATATTGAGTGTTATTGTTCCCCAGCAAATAAAATTCTTATCTCTTTATCATATTAACCCATGAAAATACTTCCTACATGTGTACATATTTTTGTGTACCCTTTTTTGCTCTCCTGTAAAATTCGGGATAATGGAGTTAGCAGTTTATCACATTTCACCGACGATATGCTTTTTCCGTGGAGTACCTTATGTTTGACGGAATAATTATGTTAGGGTTGAAATTTAAGTATTATAGATTATTTATTCTCATATTTTTATTGAAGCTGATAAAAGCTACGATATAACATATTCGCGCCAAATCTATTTCGGTTGTATATATGTAGATTTATATTATAATCATAAAATTATATTAGGTTTTTATTCAAGTTGTAGATTATTTTTGCTTAATTAGGCAAATTTAAATTTTTGTGATTTCGTGTATAGAAATAAAATCTTTGCCTAGAAAATAACTGGAGCCGTTTATTTATTTAACAATGTTCTGAAGCATATATGTATTTTATTGACAGAAGAGGTGAGACAAAATGGAGAAGTTTTTGGAATATTTATCGTTGCTTCAACTTAAATAAAAATCACGTAGGTCCAGTTATTTTATAGCCAAAGTTTCAGTCTATAAACCTTTTTGAAAATGAATGATATTTAACTATAAAAAAGAATTATAATTTTTTTAGATTTATTTGAGAAAAAATATGGAGAGCAAACTATAATTAAGCAATTTAGCCATATATTGAATGAAAAAAGCTTGTGATTTTATTTTTAGGAAATAATATTGGTTAAGTTAAATTAGATATATCGTATATTTTCTAATTTTCTTTGGATTGTTCTAAACGTTTTTATTTTGAATTGAAATTTTTTGTGATTTTTATTTTAGTTTTCAAGCTACTGCTTATTTTTCAGAATCGTGTTGTATAGTTAACTATATTTTTTAGTAATTTATGAGCAAACTGTTTACAGAAACATTAAAATTTAAAAAAATATATAATTGTAAGGAATTTACAGTGTTGTCAAATTTATAAAGTGTTTAACATTGCGAAAAAAGAATCTGTCTTATCAGTGTAACAAACCCGGTTATAAAATACTATTTTAATTTTCACTTTGCTGTATTCAAATATCTATTGTCATCAAATACTTGTTTATCAATGACAGCTAACCACGCTCAGATGCGTAAAAAACTCAACGGAAAATTTTTGGTTTTTGTCAAAGTGTTATATTTTTTTTATTTTTCGCCCAATTTTTATGATTTTTTTGACAAACTGTATACAAATACATAACTCGCAAACTCAGTTTTTTATAAACTTTAGTATTGGGCTTTATTATACAGGGTTCATCAAATGGTTATTTTTTACCTTAACTTTAAAACGCTCTGTGCAATAATTTCATGAGCAAAAAAAACTGGATTTACGAATTAGTTGATATTTTCATATTATACAGTTTGCTAAAAACTTCTTGCAAATTGGGCTAAATATATAAAAAAATATGCAGCACTTTAAATTTGGCGAGTTTTTTTCTGAGTGTACTAAGAATTTGTTTATATTCAACTGCTATGTGTTGGAATAAAAATGTCGTCACAGTAGGCGAAGAAATATCATTCCAGTTTCAGCAAAATTTATGGTTAGCTGATATTTTTGATGAGGAAAATTTTGAATATATGATTGTGAAAAAATAGAGCAGAATGAAATTATAGGCTTGGTGCATCTCCGCCGGTGCTGCCACCGCCGGAGAACTCGTAATTACCGAATGCATATAAATACATGGGTTTAAATGGCGAGTAGACGAAAAAATTAGCATATAATTATTATAAAAGTGTTAGTAAGTGTAATTTGTGGAAATTTTAAACAAAAAAATAAAAAGGTAAATATTTTGATATCTTCCGAAGGTCTAACTTGCATTATAATTTATTATTCCAGTTAAAAACTGTTTAGATGAGTTCAACTACAGTAGCGACATAGTTTTATCCACCGGTTTTGCTAATGGGGTATAATAATGGGGCTATTTCGGCTATAACGAATTTATTTAAAGGTATGTAATTATAATCGTAGAAGATTTTCGTAAAACATTTAATCACTAGTTGATTAAAAAAGTGTACCATTAATATTGCAAATTATATTTCATCCCCTCTATTTAATTTTTTGATTATGCAACGAGCACTTTGTTTACTCACTGGTTTCGTCGAACTGCTTGAATCTATTTTTGCTATTGATCAAATGTTGTTTCGAGAGAGTTGAATATCCGAGAAAGTGGAGTTATTGAATGTTATTGCACCCAACAACGCCCTAATTACGCTCTCCTTTACGCTTTAACATTTTTTGGGGCAACAATTTTA